AACTAACTATCCAGCTCAGAGAACAAAACCACATCAAAATTATCCACCTGAGCTACAAATCTTCTCTATCATATCAAAATCTTACGAGCGGGATACGCTTCTCTCTGTTCGAAAGTGGGAAGACTTCGCCAAAAGGCAAGGATCCACCAGAGAACAATTATTCTTTCTCCATGAGTGCCTTCGTCATTCAATCCTACCAAACAGTGTAAGATACAAGCCACCAGTCAACTGCCCAATGGGATGGAAATTAGCCGAACAATGTGGAAGACGAATGGTCAAATTAATGATTACGGACGCACATTATCGGATCAACAAATATCAACAAATAATAGATGTCCAAAAAGCAAAATTAGAGAAAACCCTCAACCAAGAACACCTGTCAACGCTGATCACCGCAATTTCACTGTCAAGTGGAAAACACAGAGAACAAAGACGAAGAGTCCTCAAAACCAAGCTAGCCAAGATTAGAAAACAACAACCAGACAATACGCCCATAGACTGCGTAGTCAACCTATCAAAACAACCACTATCAAAAATGGAACAACAACTACTACAAAAAGGATTAAACTACAACACCGGAGATGCTTCAAAAACTGATTTCTTCGCTGCCCTTGAATCATTACTCAAATCATCAAACTTGAACGAGGAAACACAGGAAGAGATACGCCAAACAATTGTACCAATGGTCAAACAGAAAAGACAACACACACAACTCAACTCTCAAGAACTAAAGGCCCTCAAAAAGCTGAAAAATAGGAAGGACATCGTCATTTTACCAGCCGACAAAGGAAGAACAACAGTAGTCATGGACAGAGAAGAATACACCAAGAAAGCTGAAGAACTACTCAAAGATGAAGATGTATATCAACAACTCCCAACAAATCCCATACAAACATTGGACAACCGCATCCAAAGGACCTTAAACAAGCTCAGCAAAACTGGACAGATCACAAAACAAGACCAATGGCGAATGAAATCCAATGGACCAGTCCTACCTCGATTCTACGGCAGACCCAAAATACACAAGGTAAATATCCCGTTACGACCAATTGTATCACTCCCAGGAACTCCAACATATAATTTGTCCAAGGAATTATACAGAAAACTAAAACACCTAACGGAATCCTGTGATCACTCCATCAACTCTGCTATCCAATTCCTAGAGAAAATCAGAGACATCCAAATAGATGAACAAGAAATAATGGTATCCTTCGACGTGACAGCATTATATACCTCTATCGGACAAAAACTAGCAAAAGAAACCATGGAGCAATTACTTAGCAACGACGAACAACTTCCACAACAATCAAAAATGCAACACACAAGCTGGATGGAATGCATAAATCTATGCCTAACAACATACTTCCAATTCAACGGCCAAATATATGAACAAGTCAAAGGAACACCCATGGGATCGCCAATATCAGGTTTGATTGCAGAAGCAGTGATGCAAAGACTCGAAAACATAATTCTACCAAAGATCAAACCCAAGATTTGGATACGCTACGTCGACGACACATTTGTAATAATCAAAAGAAACGAATTAGACAAAACTCACAACTTAATAAACAACGTCTTCAACGACATCAAATTCACAAGAGAAGAGGAATCCGAGAACGAAATACCATTTTTGGACGTCTTAGTCAGGCGAACAACTACAGGAGAATTAGAAACTCAAGTTTATAGGAAATCAACTCACACAGACCAAATACTGAATTACAACAGCAACAACCCAATAGCACACAAAAGGAACTGCATACAAACACTATTCAAGAGAGCAAGGACTCACTGCAGCACTCCCACCTTAAGAAAAATTGAAGAAAAGTATCTCATGGACGTCTTCCAAAAGAATGGATATCCCCGGAATTTCATCAAGAGACATATACCCCCAAGCCAACCTACCAAAACAAAAGCCACCAAGGAAACCACAAAGAAAATCGCCTTACCATATATAAAGGATATCTCAGAAATCACTAAAAGACTCTTCAAACCTTTAGGAATTGACGTCGTACACAAACCAACAAAGTCGCTGCACTCAATTCTATGTCAACCAAAAGACTCAACAGCAAAAGAAGACAAAACCAACGTCATCTACAAAATAAACTGTAACAACTGTGAAAAACACTACATTGGCCAAAGTGGACGTCCCCTTCGTCTTCGTATCCACGAGCATAAGCTAGCCGTCAAAAGACATGATATACACTCCCTCATTTCACTACACACAGACAACCACGGACATCAATTCGACTGGGACAACGTTCAAATATTAGACAAAGGAAATAACAAGAATGCTAGAGAATTTTTAGAAGCTTGGCATTCCAGTGAATCATCAATCAATAGACACATCGAGATAGACAAAATTTATCAACCAATAAGAAAGAAACTTCACACACGATTGGCCAAAGTTCAAGTCACAGAAACAATCAGTTCCAATACAAGTAACCTAGAAGGTGTGAAAACATACATAAACAACCAATCACGTTCAAGGTCACCAGGAGGAATGATTAATAAACTCGTGGAGAAATCTAAAAGCTCACTTCAATTTGAAGTATGCGCTGAAGATGTCACCCAGTAAGGTGATGAAAGCTTCGCAAACTAACTATCCAGCTCAGAGAACAAAACCACATCAAAATTGGTAAACTGCTTACCCTGCTGACAACCTTTAACATCCTACGTAATAAGGTATAGTCTTTCTTCAATAGCCCAGGAAAGTCTTAGGGGGAGCAATAGAGAATTATAGGCAGAATACGGGATTTAACAAATTGTAGTAGTAAGGGTTGGGTTACACCAGAATGTCTTAACTTCTTGATGTAGAAGGTAAGACGGTATATTTTCTTGGAAATCGTCAAGATATGAGACGACCAGGAAAGATCAGAAGATAGAGTGACGCCTAGGTATTTAATTTCGGACTTAGTTTCTATTTCAGTGCCATCTATGTTGCGCACCTCGTGAGCGCTAACCAGTTTGCTTAGGTCAGATTTGTGCCTAAAGGTGAAATTAACTGTTTGGCATTTGGAGGGGTTTAAGGTTAGACCGTTTTCCTTGGACCATTGGCTAATTTCTGATAAGAAGCCATTTAGTTTAGAGCAGTCATTTTGACATTTGACAGGTAAAGATACAGTTAGGTCATCAGCATATTTGACAAAGTTAATATCATTTGAAGACGGTAGGTCATGAAGGAAGAATGAAAAGAGAAGTGGGGAGAGTACAGCACCTTGGGGGACACCAGATTCAGTGAGCACAGCAGAGGAGGATTGACCTTTGAAATGTCTGTCTGTCTGTTTTCGACATAGAACTTTGCACAAATGTGCGGAAGTTCAAGTCGCCACACTCCGTGTAGCACGCGAAGCAAGAGAAGAAAGTACAAGAAAAGCATAATAGAGACAGTGAGCAGAGGTGTGAGACAAAGGAGTAACAACGAAGAACAAAACAGTTTCATTGGAGATCATAAGTCACAAGGAGTGGATGCATCTGCGCCACTGAGAACGATTTTGAGCCATGTCACCAACCAATGAGGTTTTGAAGTTGCATCGCTTGAGATAATTTGTACACGTGCTATGCATTCTGATCCATCGCACATATATCGTGTTTCCAGGTTTCATCCATGTGAAAATGATAGAAATGTTTGATAGAATTCAGACAACTAGTCAGTGTACCCAGTACAGTGCTACTAGAAGTTAGTTGTCAGTCCGAATATGTCAGTGGTAATGACCTTGTCTGTATCAATTGGTTACAAGTGTTCGAATCTTAGAGGGGATATCAGAGTTACAGATTCTCCATGTTGATGAGGGCTAATAAGTAGGAGACCTAGATGCAGAGATTCCTACGCCTTACGCCAACTCAGTTCACTGCGAAGGTGAGTCATCTCGCATGGATGATCACATTGAAAACGTGACTTACAGAGTTCAATTTGCACTAAGACTAAGGACTAGACTCATGTCATTAGTTACTTCCTAGGGATTAAACAATGAACACCTAGTTTTTGATGCAGTTGCGTTCTCTGAACGGGATGGTTTATTTGCGAAGCCTTCATTGTCCTACTAGGCAACATCTTCACTGTATACTTCAATATGAATTGAAGTGAGCTTTTAGATTTCTCCACGAGTTTATGAGTCATCTCCCCAGGGGACCCTGAATGTATTTGGTTGTTTTTGTGTGTTTTCATACCCTCTAGGCTACTCGTATTGGTACTGATTGTTTCCTTGACCTGAAGTTTGACGCTCTGTGTGTGTAGGGTTTCCTTCTTGTCGATTGGTAAAATTTTTTAATGTCAATGTGTCTATTGATTGACAATTCACTGCTATACCAGACTTCTAAAAATCCTCTAGCATTTTCAATGTTTGCTCTGTCTAGTACTTGAACGCTGGTTGTCCCACTCGGATTCATATCTGTGGTTGTCTGTGTGTATTGATATATAAGGGGTTAGATGGCATCATGTCTTTTGAGGGCTAGTTTATGATCGTGGATACGAAGACGAAGGGGACGTCCAACTTATTTTGTAGATGATGCTGGCTTTATCTTCTTTCGTTGTTGAGTCTTTTGGTTGACATAGAGCCAGCCAGCTGAGTGGTGAAGTAATTTTGTTGGTTTGTGTGTGTGTGACATCAAGAGTGATTTCTGAGATGTCTTTTATATATATAGTAAGGCGATTTTCTTTGTGCTTTCTAATGGGCCTCTGATTTTGTAGGTTGGCTTGGGGCTAAATGTATTTTGATGAAGTTCTATGGATATCCATTCTTTTGGAAGACGTCCATGGACATATTCATTCGATTATTCTAAGTTTCTTTGTCATTCGTATCGCTGGAATACAGCTAGAGCTACTCAGCTAAAGTGAACTAACTGTCTCATCACTTAATCACTCTTTTAGTGATTTTGAACTTTGAGAAGGGAAAAACTCAATGTAGGATGTTATTCTATCTTATATTGATTTATTTATTTCAGTTTGAATACTGTCAATCTCTTTTTCCATTTTTTATTTTTTTTGAAAAAATTAATTTCAGATTAATAAAATCTCTCAACTACAGGATACTTTAAAAGTTCGACATTCTGTCATGGTTGTCGGTCCAACTTCTGGTGGGAAAACAGTTGTAATAAATGTTTATGGAAAAGCTTTAAAAGCGTAAGTTTACAATCAAAATAAAACGGGGGGGGAGGGGTCGCTGGGGGTGTTGAACGAGAGCTACAAGATCATTGTAGGATTTCTTTTTCAAAAAAGTCTCGAATGATAATTAGAAATTGAACTTTGAAATAGATTTATAAAAACAAAACGTGTAGTTCAGCGAAGAGTCTCTTTTTGATGAATTCATTCACTGAAACTATACAGCTAAGTGAATGTATTCACCGAAAAGAGACTCTTCGCTGAACTACGTGTTTTGTTTTCAAATAATGACTGGTTGAGGATTATTCATGAGTTAATATATATATAAAGCATAACCATTGAGTTAAATATAAACCTCAGAATACATTTACTTGTCTGTAGTATATGCTATAAGCAAGGCAAACTTTCATTACTCTCAAGTTCGTGCGGAGGTCAACACCACTCAGCATCAAAAATAAGATTCGGATTTTTCAACTCCAATGTGATGTCAGTGCTACTCACTATACGGATCAGAGGCTTGGCCAGCGCGTCATGAAGAGCATCTCAAACAAACTACAGACCTTCATTAACAGTTGTCTTCGCTCAGTACCACTCAAGATCAGATGGCTGGACAGAAAAGATCAGCAACAGGGAGGGATCTCTGGCAATGAGCGAGCCAACCCAGCAGGAACCAATTGTGAAACAAACAGGCAGAGGAAACCATCAAGTGACATCAGTAGACAAGCCAGTCCTCGAATGCAACCCGGAAGGGAAGCGGCGAGTTGGCCATCAGTATGAGGGTGACTTGGAGGAGGTTATGTGAGGAGGAGATGAAAGCATGTGGGCAGACTTGGAGCGGAGTGAAAAAGTTGGCAGAAAACAGAAGGCAATGTAGACTCGCAGCTGAAGCCCTATGTTCCTCTAGGAATTAAAGGAAATAATATAATAAATAATAATATTTGAAAAATTGATTACTTATTTTACATAAGGTGTGTCTGGGATAGTTATCATCGATAAACACTTTCAAAAAGATGAGTCGAAATCTTCCATGATTAGAAATGAAGATCACTAGAACATTGGGAGTAAAGAATCGGAGAGTAGGACATAATTTGACTCCTACAGTGGGTATAGTTTAATTTTAAAACCGGAATTATTGCAGACAGTACAATGAATATTGACACATACCAGGTGAGATTAATTTAAATGAAAATGAACAATTATGATTACAGAGTATTGGTGTAAACAAAATTGAACTAATTTGTTCCGTTTATGAATTTAGACAAAGCAATAAGAAGACGTAATTTGTCTGAATCGTGTAATGTGTATTTGCGCAACACATTTTGAACAATCTGATCACACTACACGGACTTGTCATAGAAATAGACATATATAAAATTAATAAAGAGGTAAGAGGTGAGAAAAATAGACTTAGGTCAAGTTAAAAGGACATATTGAAGGTTACAGTAACAATGAAGATCACTAAACCAAATCACAGGGGTAATATTACATCTACTCTGGTTGGTATCAAAACAAAGTTTACTGAGGAAGGTTTAGTGTGATGACAAAGTGTTGCTTTGAACGCATAAAGGTGGTTTAGGCGACCTAATTGCTAGCTAAGGATTCCAAAAGCTTTAGGATACGCCCGCCCCTAACACATTTTATGGTTGGATAGATTTAAAAGATGTGTAAACATCAATTTTATGTCCCGTCTCTATAATATGTTTCGCAAGTGAGGAGCTAGTTCTCCTGTTCTCACCATTAATGGATTCTGGGGATTATATTTGCTTCTAAAATAGTCATTTAGGAATTTGCTATGAAACCAGCCCTTACTTGCAGAGATCGATGAGTCCTCCCCATGTGTATGTGTGTACACGTACATTCAAATTGGTGAATACAGTGGGATGTGACATCATTTTTCACATGTTCTAAGGGCTTTGATGGATATATCGCATTCACATTCTAAATTATCATGATATTATATGATATGCATAAAAAGTCCTTTTAGCCACATTGTTCAATCTTTGTCTAGTTATCAAGCTGCTATGATGCCCCATATAGGGTAGCTTGATGTACACGTCTTTCTTAGGGGTGAGTTGTAGAGTGGGTCTTGGTGTTCTGCTTACTGTATATCTCCTAATAAACGTTTCTGGATAATTATTATCAAACAGAGTTTGTGTCAACTTTCTTTCTTCCTCATCGAGTTTGTCTTCAGTGCATATTCGTTGGATTCTACTGAAGAGGTGTCTCATTAAGCCTGTTTTGTACCGAGCAGGGCAGAAATTCTGATAATTAAGATACTGTCCTGTCCAGGTAGGTTTTCTATAAGTAGATCGTTTTATTGACCCATCAAGCCATCGACTAAACAATATGTCTAGGAAAGATAAACAATTATCTTCCTCGTCTACCTACAGACGTAAGTGATATGCTATTCTGAACTTCATTCATTCGATTTAAAATTGAGGTGGCAGAACAACAAGGCTTATCACTTATGATTACAATATCATCTACATACATTCTTTAAACTGGCATATTTTCGATTAAATCCTCCGATAAACTCTCAGTATAGGAAATATAGATAACTTCTAAAAGGGGCCCAAACGGACTTCCCATAGCAATACCATCAGCCTGACGGAAACAATCGCTTTCAAATGTAAACCTAACATTGCTAATACATGGAAATAATGAATCCCTTAAATAAGATATAGGGAATGGGATGAAAAAATTATGTCGATTGTTTTAAGTAAAGGCACATTAGTGAATAAAGAGCTTACATCGAAAGAATAAATATTTTTTTATTCATAATAATAATAATAATATCATCAAGGGAATTAACCAGTTCAAATGTATCTTTAATTACATACGGACAATTTACGTCTACTTATTTCTGTGCCTTAAAATGAACTACTTGTTAATAATAAGTAGTATGAAGTTAATACAAGGAAAACATGAATCCTGTTCAATTAAGAATTAACAGCCACATTGTCATGATCATAATCAAATAAAATAATTGATCAATGTAACTTAACATCCTTTGTGACAGTATCGAGAGTAGTCATTTTTCCGGTGAATACTAACAGTAATAACTGCACATAGTATTAATGAGTAATGATAACTGTAATATTGTTATAAGAATGAAACTTTTGCACTGTGGTAGAGTATAATTCCACTATGGGTAAAATTTGTTTTGACAAAGTCTGACAGTGTTATACAGTAATGTTTACTAATGACCACCTTTCGAGCACAGTTTATTGCTCATAATCATAGCAAGGTACTCACACAACTTTCTAGCTTCATTTATATAGTTACATTATTTTTCATAGCTTAATTTGATTGGTAGTAGTATTCTCCGTATTTCCGGTATGAGTGATGAGTCATTCCTACTGCAAGTGTTCGGTGTAGATCCTATGAACACGGATTTGGTAATCAACCTCCCTCTGTTCCCACTTACCTATATTACTTCTCAGGATTTTAGTCCTCTCCCACCCTATTGTGTGTGAGCTTGTCTCTCATTCAGGGACAGGGTCCTTTAACCTACAGAGCTTGTCCTACGTGAGTGAGTTTGTAGGTTCAAATGTCACTCTAATTCCTTCTTTATTGAGAATCCTACAAAGTAGGGTCTCAGATGTTCTCTCCTTATATGGTATAACAGTGGATGACTTATAATCTCTCTCATTAATAGTTTCACAATTATTTTTATTTCGCTTTTGGTCTCTTCAGATCTTCCTAATGAATTTTATGGGGATAGTTATTCAACACCAACGCCTCTTCTATCTGTTTTATTTCGTCATTTAGGTCTTTTCTTGTGCTACTTAGTGCTACTGCTCGGTTTGTTAAACACTTAACTAAACCTGCTTTAACGGTTAACGGATTTTTTTATCCATTGATATAACGCATTCTAATAGATATTTAGACTTTAATTCGTCTCATCCTTCAACTGTTAAGGCAGGCTTAGTTAAATGTTTAACAAACCGAGCAGTGGCACTAAGTAGCACAAAAAACTATCTAAATGATGAATTAAAACAGATAGAAGAAGCGTTGGTGTTGAACAACTATCCTATAAAATTCATTAGGAAGATCATTAAAGGCCAAAAACAAAAGAAAAAGAAAAATAATTGTGAAACTAGTAATAATAACATAAATAAGAGAGAATATAAGTCATCCACAGTTATACCATATAAAGAGGGGACATCTGAGACACTACGTAGGATTCTGAATAAAATAGGAATTAGGGTGGCATTTAAACCTACAAACTCACTCACGTAGGACAAGCTGTGTAGGTTAAGGGAGCCTGTCGTTGACTCAGTTAGACAATATAATGTAATTTGCAAAATACCTTGCAGTGACTGTGATTTAGGTCAACTACATAGATGAGTAGTTAGATTGTCGGGACATAAGAATCTAGCTAAGGTAAGAATGGTTGACCCGAGAAGATAAGTAATTTAGGAAAAAGCTTAGCACTACATTGCATTGCATGCATTAACACACAACCACACAATAGGGTGGGTGGGAGAGGGTTAAAATTCTAAAAAGTAATCTATGTAGGTGGAGAGAGAGGTTGATTACTGAATCCTTGTTCATGGAGTCTACACCGAACACATGCAATAGGAATGACTCATCACTCATACCTGAAATATGGAAAATACTACTACCAATGAAATCAAGTGAAAATCAAGTTAAAAACAATGGAACTATATAAATGAATTTAGGAAGTCGTGTGATTACCTTGATGTGATTATGAGCAGTAATAAATTGTGTTCGAAACGTCATCAGTAAACATTACTGTATAACACACTGTGAGACTTTATCAAAACAAAATTTACCCATAATGGAATAACTGTAATAACTGATCTCCACTGCAAAAAACATTCCTGTCTTAATTCAATGGGCTAGTTGAAAAAAGTTTGACATTTGAAATAATTGGTACTGTGTTCTAGTCACACTGGGGATATCTCTGTCCATCAAAAACCCTAGTATATCCTAAATCTGAAACAGCACTAGTGTTTTGTGACCTCACAGCCAAAATAACAACAACGAGGCTTGATTGAAGTGACTTTAGAGTTTTGTCCAGATGAATAAAGATGTAAGTATAAAACTTGGGCACTGTGGTAGAGTATAATTCCATTATAGATAAGATTTTATTTTGATAAATCGCACAGTGTTTACAGTTATATGAACTGATGACGTTTCGAGCACAAACTATTGCTCATAATCATATCAAGTTCATATCAACTTGATATGATTATGAGCAATAGTTTGTGCTCGAAACGTCATCAGTTCATATAACTGTAAACACTGTGCGATTTATCAAAATAAAATCTTATCTATAATGGAATAAAGATGTCCATAGTAGTAAAACTGTTACCTATCTGTCACAGCACCAGCAGATTTTGAAGAACTCTTCATAGGTGTATCATATTTTTCCCCTGGAAAGAGGTTTAATCTATGCTGTTTACTCTAATGTTCTCAGTGAAATAAATGTAAGAAATGATGTTGTGGATATTCAGTTATTTATGAAGCTTAACTCAAATACTATTCTTCGTGATATATTGAAAGTTTCCGCGAATACACATTATGACAACATTCTCATGGGCAGAGTTAAACTTTGAGCACCACCAACTACCAATCACCGAACGACCTTCAACGAACCGGTTATATGAAAGAGGGATTTTTGATTACTGGAAACGTATATTTATGAGAAAAAGCATGAAGACTGCATAAAACTGTTCAATATGGTATTTTTCTCTAACATGTGACAGAAACATCTCCCAGTTTAGCATAGAAGTGTCAACAGAAAAGTTACACCACATTCTGTACATTTATTCATTCAAATGACCGCAAATGAGATCGGTTTGTGATCCATTTATAGACCTAATCCTATTTTTTTAGTTTTCCCCCAAATCGTTCTATAGAATTCATGTGTCTCCCTGTAACTGGATCCACAAAATCACTAGAATGGTTCACTCTTTGATGAATATATCCAAGAGATGAAAGCGAGTTATAACCTTTACACTCATCAGTATTTACTGTGGATCCCTGAGTGACAATAGGTACTAAGGTAGTAGACTTCCTGTCTGGTATTCCCTCCACGAATCTTTTCCACAGGGAGGTGTCATATAAACCGATCACCCAAACATTGTTGGCTCGCTCACAACCACAGTTATATTTTTTCTTCAGTAACACATTTTTGCCTCTGTGTACGACGATACCTTCTCCGCCTAACAACGAAGTAATTCTCTCTTATTTTCCATGAGGCAATGTCTCTGCAGTGCTGGTACCACTGAACTGTTGACACCAGGCTATTTCCATTTTCAGCAGCTGTGCCTCTCACAGGCTGTTTTAAAACGCAGTAATTACAAGTTTTCAAAATCTGGGTTAGGGGGAGATCGGACCCGGCAAAAATATTCTTATTGCACAACGATGGGCAAATCCTTCAATCGACCTGCTAAGGCTTTCAAAAACCCATGACACCTCAACATGAACAAATTCTCTCCTACCTAAGCAACTCCAAATCCAAGAAATACTGCAAAACCTAATCCTTATCGAACCGCAGGACTAACTTCATTAGAGCAGGCATTTAATACGAATCACGTGAGATACAACCTTGAACTCACGTGCATGAACCTCATTGGACCATTCGAAGTCATTCGCTGATTAGTAGTTGGTGGTGCTTAAAGTTTAACTTGTCCCTCTCATAAAAGTCACAATAAGCTACGTCAGTATTATTTTTGTGGGAAATTGATAGGACCCAGCATAAAACAGTATATCATCCTTTCTCACAAATCGTGTGATCTATCATGTGATGGAGTCACTATGTGAATGTATCATTTCTCGCGCAAATTATAATGTAGTGTATGAGATCAATTCATTGTCTTTTTGTCTTGCCTTGGACTTTGTCGGACCGCCAACCAATGAGAATAGCCATTGCTAGCCAATAAGAACAATCCATTCTCAAGGCTGTGAGCCGAATTTATTATGGTAATGAAAATGGATGAATATCTTAAGAGAAATAATACAATATCTTACAGTCACAGGTCAGCCTTTGTTTTTTGATATTTGCGTGGCTCAGTGAATTGGAAGGTGCAACGGACAAATAGACGTATTAGTGTACCATTTAAGTTCATCACCGTTATCGTAATTAACAGGCACAGGTATAACAAAGTAGCGACAGGGTTTATTCAGTTCAGTTCAGTGATAACACAAACAGGATGAACTGATTTGTTATTAATGAGATTTGCGGTTTTGCACGGATTTTTGTCTAATCTCAATGTGGGTGTTGTCACGCATTGATATCAGTTAGAGATTCGTTAATGGCGTTGACTACGTTAGGTAGCAGTGTAACAACACAAGACAAAGGCCAGATAACAGATCGTTTATTTAGAAAATCAATAGATATTTATAGATTTTCAGGTACATTCTTATAGATTATTGTAAGCAGATAAACACAGTCTTCTGATTGGTGGTTAACCTTGCATCTCTTTGTGGCTGTTTCTTGAATGTCAGATCATCTATATGTTAACTGTATCGGCCTACGCAAAGTCTGCTGTGACTGGTTGTTGAATCAGTATTTGTTCTTATTTTTTTCATCACCAACCTTGGGGACGTACACATTGACGTTAATTACTATCTACCAGTTTTGGCTAGCAGCCAGCCCTCACCACAGCAGTATCTCTATACCTCTGTTATTTGATTTAGTGATCTTCATTGCTACTTTGACCTTGAATATGTCCTTTTAACTTGACCTAAGTGGTCTATTTTCTCACCTCTTACCTCTTTATTAATATCATATATATTTCTATGACAAGTTCGTATAGTGTGATGAGATTGTTCGAAATGTGTTACGCAAATACTACATTATACAATTCAGACAAATTACGTCTTCTTATTGCTTTGTCTAAATTCATAATAGTTGGATTTTAATATCTAGCCGTACAAGCATAAGTTTTTATAAAATTTCTTCTGGTTTCACTGAAAGATATACAAGCAGAAAGTTGAGAATAAAGAGGATGTTCGTCAGCAGACAAGGTGGCTTTGGTCAATCGCTTCCATGAACTATTTTATTTATTTTTATTTTTTAATTTTTGATTACACTTTGATTCCACACTGTATTTTTAGTACAAGTATGGAATTTTCAGCATGGATATCGGTAGCCCAAATTTTGCAGGCCGACCATAGATATCAGGTGTGCGTCGACGTGGGCTCAAACCTCGGATCATGTGCATGGTTGGCGAGAGTCCTAACCACTGTGCCACCGACGCACTATAATGCCTGTCAACGACATTGTCAATTAGTTGAGTCAAAAGCACAAGACTAACCCTCCTTACAGCCTTGAAACTCCTACATTATATAACATGATGCTTTTTGAGGAGCCCAGAGAAGAATAAGAGGAATTCATGTAGAAAAAAATGAGTAGACCACATGAATTAATAAACTGTAAGAGAAGAGGTTGATTTATGCCAGAAAGTTCAAAATTCCTCATGCATTAAGTCAAATGAAAGATTTTTTAGAAACCAAAAGAGATGAGATGACCAACAAAGATGTGCGAGAGAAGCTGTTACCGAGATAGGTAATATTTCATTTATTTCCCTCCGCAGAGTCGCCAAAGTTACCGAAATCATAAGAATGAATCAGTTCACACAAGAATTCTTCATGTCTGAAACTAAAATTAGTAGTCTGACATTTAGAGGGATTCAGTTTAAGACCATTTAAATAAGACCATCGGTTCACCTCAGATAGGAAATTATTCCTATCAGAACAATCTAATAAAGAAACATTTGGGACAGAATATGTACTGGTGACGTTTCGAGGACAATTTACTGCCCATAATCATATTAAGGGTAGGAATGACCATGAACAATAAATTGTGCTGAAAACGTCATCAGTAAATATTACTGTACAACACTGTGTGACTTTATCAAAATGAATTTAAATTCATAATGGAATTATGCCAATCTGGAAATCTTCGTCACTCAGCCAGAATCAACAACTAAATTCAGTCGGTCGGATTTTCAATACAAACAACGTCAAGTCAGTCAGTTCTTCTATACGGAACGGATCAGAAACTTGGTGGGCGGGCGGGTCACAAAGAATATTTCCAACAGGCTATTGCAGGCCTTCATCAACAACTAACTGTCTTCGCTGGATCTATACTGAAGATCAGATCAGATGGCCGGACCGGAAAGAATCACCACCAACAAGAAACTATGGGAACAAACAAACAAAACAAGAAGCAATCGCCAACCAACAAATATGTAGTTGGAGAAAGTGGAGATGGATGGATTGGACACTCTCTCGCTGAGGAGGCGTAGCGCTGGGTGACATCGCGCACGCGTCAGACCATTTCCCGAGTGGAACTCGAGTGATTGGGAAGCGGTGAGTGGGACGTCAGTGCAAGGATGGGTGACATGGAGGAGATCGTGTGAAGAGAAGTTGAAAGTAAGTCGTGTCAAAAGAATGAAGACAGAAATGGAGAAAGTACAGCATCTTGAGTCATACCAACCTCAGTAAACAAAGAAGGAACCTCCTGTCTTGGATTCCTAGATGGGTCATTTGTGCGTCATGCTGAAGAATCCCAAACTGGTGTGACACAACCCTCCAGTACTCACTGGTTTCCAGTGATGCTCTGTCTGATGTTTAAAAAAAATGGCCATTGATTGTCTAATAGTTTATATATCACAGTGGAAGGCAGGTAATTTTTTACTTGTTTTTAACAATCTTAATGTGTTGTATGTAGTCACGATTATGTCTACATTTCAGTTCATTTCATTTCTCTTCTTCCTGTTTTTTTTCTTTTTTCTGTTCACTTGAAAGACTTGGAATAAATACAAAACTCTATACAATCAATCCTAAAGATCGTAGTGTCAATGATTTGTATGGTGTACTAGAGCCAACGTCACGTGAATGGTTGGATGGTTTACTGTCGCATTTATTCCGTGTTATGAATCAAGTAGCCAGTGATGTCAATGAACGTCGTATGCTTGTCTTTGATGGTGATGTTGATGCCTTATGGATAGAGAATATGAATTCTGTGATGGATGATAATAAACTGTTAACACTAGTCAACGGTGAACGTATACGACTGCAACCAAATTGTTCATTGATATTTGAAGTGAAAGATTTACAGTATGCATCACCAGCAACTGTATCACGTTGTGGTATGGTATACGTTGATCCAAGTAATTTAGGCTATACACCATATTGGGAAAGTTGGGTAGGTAGAGTTTCATCTCATATATACTGATAATATTATAACCTAATATCCCTCTGAGTATTGTTATTATTATTACTATTATTAACACTCCCTTGAGTACCGAATGGAACATAAGGATCTAGCAGAACACCTCCATTTCCTTGTGTTTGTTGCAGTCTCTTTCAGCTGGCTTCACGATTGCTCACGAAATTTCACTCGCTTTTCACACTGTCCTCTCCATGTCACCCTCGGACCCATTCACAATTAACTTTCAGTATGGTTTCTTTTCAAGGGCCTGCTTTGAGCGTGATGTTATTCATCGATCTTCTCAGTGTGTATCCAGTCCAACATCATTTCTTTCTGCATATTTGTCAAATGATAGGTTTCTGTTTGGTTCGTCCTTCCTTTCTAGCCGGCTATCTGATTATCACTATTGAGGCAGGACAAATGTTCATAGAATTCTGCAGTCTGTTAGGACTGCATTCAGTGATGCTTTGTCTTTGAATAATATAGAAGGACTGATTTGGCATTAGTGTTGAAAGTCCGTGCCTTGTTCCCTAAGCTAAACGCAACAGATTTTCACACTGATTTCAGAGATTTGCTATCCTTTTCCGATCCCGGCATTGAAATTCCCATCTGTGTCGGCCGCTGCTGAAACGGTATTTATATATTATTGTTCCCTTGCGTTCCCAGTGGAACATAGGGCGTCAACTGCACGTCTCCACTTGCTTCTGTCTTTCTTCTGTTGTAATTTTTACCTGCATCCATGTTAGTCCATACTCTTTCAACTCCCCTCTCTTCACACGATCTCCTCCATGTCACCCTTCCACCAAAGTCCCACTCACCGCTTCCCAATCACTCGAGTTCCACTCGGGAAATGGTCTGACGCGTGCGCGATGTCACCCAGCGCTACGCCTCCTCAGCGAGAGAGTGTCCAATCCATCCATCTCCACTTTCTCCAACTACATATTTGTTGGTTGGCGATTGCTTCTTGTTTTGTTTGTTTGTTCCCATAGTTTCTTGTTGGTGGTGATTCTTTCCGGTCCGGCCATCTGATCTGATCTTCAGTATAGATCCAGCGAAGACAGTTGTTGTTGATAAAGGTAACGTCTGCAATAGCCTGTTGGAAATATTCTTTGTGACCCGCCCGCCCACCAAGTTTCTGATCCGTTCCGTATAGAAGAACCGACTGACTTGACGTTGTTTGTATTGAAAATCCGACCGACTGAATTTAGTTGTTGATGTTGGCTGAGTGACGAAGATTTCCAGATTGGTTGTTTCAGGTTGATGAATGTGTTTCTCGCCTGCCTTCCCGACTCTCGCTCGATTTGACATCCTCCTCGTCCGTTCCTCCCCCTGTAGTTGAGACAATGTTCCCTAGCTGGATAAGTGAATGAAGTAACCTCTTTCAAATCCCTCCCGTTGTGATGGTGATTGGCACTGGATGTTGCTGCTGCTGTTGTTGGTTTGTTGGTTATTTTCATAACCTCTGCCCTGTCTATGTTCAACTGGAGTCCTGTCTTCACCATCTGCTTGTTCGATCAGTTTTTCGGTTTTCGCTTGTAAGTCTTTGATTTAATGTGACATCAAACATAAGAGTTTTATCTCATATATACCGATAATATTATAACGTAATGTCCCTGTGAGTATTGTTATCATTATCAAAATAACTGTTTCACTTCAAAGCGAACTTTCATTATCAGATTATGTAGTCAGTACATTCCTTCCAGCCATTAGGTTGAAACCAAAAGGTTCAAAAACAATAAATTTGCCATATAGCTCTACCACCGTGTAATACCGTTGAAAACTGCCTTCAAAAATGAATTATATCCTCACAAATCTAATTTTTTTAAATATTAACCCATTCAACATTATTCACTACTTTCGAAATAGATTCCTCTTAATAAGTCATGACAGAATGAGGTATACTAGGTTAGGTATCAGCAAATATGTTGATTAATTTCAGAGTCAGTCATTATTGTAGTCTAATAACCTCGACTGTCAGTGTTGTAGCATACGCTACTAATAAAAATTTATAAATATTATTATATTGCATGTGATGTCTTCTGAGAGAACATTTGAATTCCCAAAACAAAGAAGTGAGTTACAAAGAGGAGAAATGTAGAATATTCTGAAGCACAAAGCGTACACTTCCCAAAACGCATCTCTGAACATCATCCGGCATGGTTAGTAAAAGGACAATGCAAGACAATCACTAGCTCAATTATCGAGTAATTTGTGAACTCAAGTCAAGTAGCTCCACCAGAGTTGTCTTTCAAGATCATCTACAAGGTGAGGCCGAATAGTACAAAAGGCGCCAGGTTTCGGATTTTTTGTGTATGACGGAGGCGCTGGTAATTCGTCAACAGCATCCTGAACTATGTATACAGAAAAATTTTGTCCAGTCTCTTATTCTAACTTGGTCTTAATCTCTTCACTAGTCGTTTCCTATAAAAAAAAATTTAATTTTTTAAAAATTTAGATAAAGCAATAAGAAGACGTAATTTGTCTGAATCGTGTAATGTAGAATTCGCGCAACACATTTCGAACAATCTGATCACACTACACGGACTTGTCATAGAAATATATATGATATTAATAAAGAGGTAAGAGGTGAGAAAATAGACCACTTAGGTCAAGTTAAAAGGACATATTCAAGGTCACAGTAACAATGAAGATCACTAAACCAAATAGCAGAGGTTATAGTACATCTACTCTGGTTGGTATCAAAACAAAATTCTCAATTTTACTTTTAGTTTGCTTTTGCTTTAATAATTAATTCACTATTATCAATCTCACATGCTCCTTTTGTAGATTTTCACACCCTCTTCATACTTGTTAAATTGACACTCAACTATCACCTTTATTCTCACTCAATAGAAATTTTTACCTTATCAAATTTCTATGTTTGTGCCGTTGAGTACCATGTAATTTACAACTTTTAATTTTTTTTACTTCTAAAACAACTTCCGGATAATTATATCAGTTATGTCACCTGCCCTCATTACTCAATAACAGACCACTATACATTTTTGGTAAATATAAATATTTTAAAACAAGCAATAAAGGTTAATAAAGCAGGATTTATTTAATTCACTAGATTTCGGGAGAACTCGTCAGCTGAATACTCTACATACACGGATATATATACTTTTAAAATTACATCGGGAGATATAAGATATATTATTATTATTATTTATTATTGCCCCCTTGGGTTCCTAGTGGAACATAGGGCTTCAACTGCACGTCTCCATTTGCTTCTGTCTTCTGCTATACTTTTCGCCTGAATCCATGTTAATCCATATTCTTTCAACTCCTCTTCACACGATCTCCTCCATGTCACCCTTGCACTGACGTCCCACACGCCGCTTCCCTTTCGGGTTCCACTCGAGGGCTTGGCGCGCGATGTCACCCAGCGGTCTCCTCAGCGAGTGTCCGATCCATCTCCTCTTTCTCCTGCATATTTGTTGGGCGATTGGTTCTTGCTTTGTTTGTTCCCATAATTCCTTGTTGGTGATTCTTTCCGGCCATTTGATCTTCAGTATTGAGCGAAGACAGGTGTTAATAAAGGTCTGCAACCTTTTGGAAATATTCTTTGTGACCCGCCAAGTTTCTGATCCGTATAGAAGAACTGACTTTACGTTTATATTGAAAATCCGACTGAATTTTGTTGTTGATGTTGGCTGAGTGACGAAGATTTCCAGATTGATTTCAGGCTGATGAATGTGTTTCTCGCCTCCCCGATTCTCAATTTGACATCCTCGTCCGCTCCTCCTGTAGTTGAGACAATACTCACTAGATAAGTGAATGAAGTAGCCTCTTTCAAATCCTTCACGTTGATGGTGATTGTCGCTGGATGTTGCTGTTGCTGTTGTTGGTTGGTTATTTTCATAACCTCCGTGTTGTTCACCTACGTTCACCTGGAGTCCTGTCTTCGCCGGCTGCTTCTTCGACCAGTTTGTCGGTTTTCGCTTTTAAGTCTTCGATTGTGTGTGACATCAAACATAAGTCATCCGAGAAATCCAGGTCTTCTAGGTTCTTCACGTCTGTCTGTCCAGGATATTCCTGTCTTCTCGTTTCCCACAGTCTGACGCATAATCCAGTCCACCACAATTAGGAATATCATTGGTGATAGTAAGCACCCTTGTCTGACTCCTTTGTTCACTCCGAGCGCCTCGCTGAGTCTTCCGTTGTGGATCACTTGGCAGGTGCCGTTGTCATACAGCTGTTGAATAAGGTTGATGAATATTTGGGGCACGCCATAGTACTCGAGTAATTTCCAAATTACTTCACGATCAACGCTGTCGAATATATATATATATATATATCTTGATGAATTTTGATGAATTCATTAAATCCTGCTTTAGTAACCTTTATTGCTTGTTTTAAATTCCTATCGGGAAATGAATATTTTCAAATATAAATATGACTGTACTGCCTGTGAAGATGATTTCGTCGATAAAGAAAATTTTCGCCGTTAAATTCGTCTTTTATTTTCTTTATGACTCAATGTGTATTTTCTGCAATAGCAAAAACTTGAGGGTAGAAGAAGTATGTTGTGAATGTAAGATTTTTATATTCGTCCATCAGCGTAAAGTGAGTCAGTGGCAAATTGGTACAATGCTTCCAAACCACATGTGGTCTTTGGTTTGATCCCCACCACCCACAGACGCATTCCTTTACTTCTCTAAGCCACTAATAAGACTGATAAAATGGGAAGGTTGGGCATGAGGCCAGCAGCAGCCCCATCCCGTAAAAGTTAAAATATCACTGCTACCGAAACTTCAAAACTCCAGCTAGAAGCCCTATGTTCCACTGGGAACGTAAAGGAATAAAAAGAAGAGAAAACCATCACTGTAAGCTATTTCTTCAAATAAACAATTCTGCTATCAAAATATCATTGTTCTCTACCATTATATCAGTCTAGGGTGAAACAAATATTCTATACTAACTATTTGGCTCTTGATTGGTCCCTGTCATTCAACAAATATACATGAAGGAATGGAGATGGATTACAAATACGCTGAGGAGATCGTCTAGTGAAATCATACACACAAGGCAGACCTTCAAGTGGAACCCCTTTGGGAAATGACGAGATGTGCCCGTGTCCAGGGTTGATATGCAGAAGGTTTTATGAGGAGGGAAATGAAGGCTTATGGAAAATCGTGAAGCAAGCTAAAGAAAGATTGTAGAGATATCTCACAGAAGCCCTGCATCCCACTAGGAGCTTGTGGTAGGAATAAAAATTATTAATAGCAATAATTTGGTTCACAGAGTGGTTCTTTATCTTATACCACTATTTGATGAAAACTATCTTCGCAGTATTACTATATTTACTTTAATTCCTAGAGGAACATAGGGCTTCAGCCGAACGTCTCCGTTGCGTTCGGTTCTCTGCTAAAGTTTTCACCTGGCTCCAAGTCTGGCCACATCCTTTCATCTTCTCTTCACATGACCTCCCCCAATTCTCCCTTGGACGACCAACGCGCCAATTCCCTTTCGGGTTCCCCTCGAGCGATGGCCTGGCGTGTGATGTCACTTGATGGTTTGTTTTCTCAGAGTATGGCCAATCCACCTCCATCTCTTCCTCCACATTTGTTTCACAGTCGGTTCATGGTTGGTTCGCTCATTGCAAGAGATCCCTGTTGCTGATCTTTTCAGGCTGGCCATCTGATCTTGAGTAGTATTGAGCGAAGATAGCTGTTGATGAGGGTGTGTAGTTTGTTTTAGGTGCTCTTTATGACGCGCCAAGTCTCTGATCCGTATAGTAGCACTGACTACACATTGAAGTTGAGAATCTGAATCTTATTTTCATGCTGAGAAGTACTGTTGACCTCCATACAGACTTGAAAGTAGTAAAAGCTTGCCTTGCTTTCCCGATCCTCGCCTTGACATCCTCATCAGTTCCGTTCACCTGTAGTTGAAACGATGCTTCCCAGGTAGGTAGGTAGGCAGGCTGAGGAGGTTGCTTCTTTCAGATTTCTCCCATTTATGCTGGCTGATTGTTGTCTGCTGTTGTTGCAGTTGCAGTTGCTGTTGGCCAAGAATCTTCCTCACCTACTTCTGTTTCCTCTCCGTCCACCTATCTTCTCTGGACGCTTCTTCTGTTGCCAACTTGTTGCTCTTCATTTGCATATCTTACAGTTTGTGCAAAATCAGACATACATCATAGGCGAAGTCAAGATGTTTCAAGTTTTTTGTGTGGGTCCATTTTATGCCTGTTTCCTTGCTGCCCGCCGTGTCTGTCGTATTATCCAGTCTACCGCCCACAATCAGGAAAATCATTGGAGATAGTAGGCAGCCAGCTAGCCTTTTCTTACATTCGTCCTAACTCCGAAGGGTTCCGTGAATTTCCTGTTGTGGATTACTTGGTATGCAGCATTGTCGTACAACGGTTGGATGAGATGTATAATTGTTGGTGGCACCTCGTAGGAACGAAGTAGTTTCCAAATCACCTCTCGACCGATGCTGTCCGCTGAAGGCCTTTTCAAAGTCGGCTTCAAAGTATACAAAATTCTTTTTGTAATGCTTATTACGCTTTCATCCTTTAAAGAGTGATGTATTACAATGAACGAGTGTTATTGAGTTCATTCATGAACATGTTATTTCAAATAGAATCGAAAGAAAATGATATCTTTACTAAAAATTATTCGAAATCCCAGGAAAACCCATAATCCACATATTGGTCTACCACTGATTTCTACCACTGCTCACTGGTAGAAACTAGATGGATGCCTTTAATCTTAATTATGATTATGATAATAGCTTTATTCCAAAACAGTACTTGCGATACAGAGTGGAATTCTCAGCATTTTACCACAGTTTTGCATCCAGTTAGTAAATTAACAATAAAGTAAAATTTTACATAGATTAAGGGTAATCTCAGTTAGTTTTGACAACAACATATTAGCATGTCGGTAGCAAAACCAAAGTTAAGCAGTGTTTGGAGGTGCTGGGAAAGTAGATACTACTAGCATATTTACTAGCGTAAGGAGAAGAAATAAACAAAGCTGCAGATTACAGAAAAAGAGAGAGAGAGAAAAGGAAAAGAAAGAAAGAAAACGTCGTACCTATAAATGATATGAGTTGGAAAGACGAGATCCAGTTGTTCTACTGATCATTTAATACGTTAAAGGTTTCACGCCTCATGCTTTCTTTATCGCACAGAACACGAGCTAAGTAGGTAGGGTATGGTTGAGTGTTTGTACTTGCTAGTGCGAGCATATAGTTTCCTATATAGGCTTCTGGTCCTGCCTGATGAGATACAAGCGGAGAGTTGTGAATGAATAGGGTGGTGGTGTGAGTTAGATAGATAGAATGGATTTAGCCCATTTTTCACATGAGTCCATGTGCCTGTTAACAATCTGGCTAAATGGCACATTGCTTACCCTGTTGACAACCTTTAACATCCTGCATAATAAGGGATAGTCTTTCTTCAGTAGCCCAGGAAAAACTGATAAAGCATGACCAGTGAGGTCCACTGTGTCAAGGCGAAGTGAATACACTGTATTGTGCGAATCGACTTAACTAAGAGTTCAGGAGCCATTGGATTTCTGCTGAATGGTCAACAAGCTTGCCTTCATAACATGAAGAACCCAGGATCAATCGCCAGTGGAGTTGTGAGTGAGCATTACTGATAAGTTCTCGGTTAGGACAAAATGTCTGTCCAGTGCCCCTTTGGTTTTCAAAGACCTCTCTAACTAGCATTGATTCATAACGAAATCTACATTGAATAAAACAAAGGCAAAAATGAATAACATTTTCAAATATTACTTCTTCTTTTTCTTCTTCTCTTTTTCATTTAGCTGTTAGGTGTACCATGTGAAATGAAAGAAAAACTCAATGGATTATTTATAAAATATATTCCCGCTTTATTTGATTTTGTATTCGATGGAATTATACCAACGCAATTAACTCGACTGTTGGGTTTAAATCCAGCATTTACTGGTGCTGATGGTGGAGGTGGTGGCACTGATGGTGAAAAAAGTCATGAACCAACAAAACTTGAAGAAAGTAAACAAAATTTCAATCCAAAATCAAAACAAAAACTTGTTTTACCATTAGTTAAAATGAATCTGATTGTACAACTGTGTACTATCCTACGAAGTCAATTAGACGTGGGTTGTATACCTGGAAAAGAATTAGATATTTTAGAGAAACAAGAGGCAAAAACTTCAGTCGTAGTAAACGAGTATGTAATAAATATTGATTAGTGTTCTATTATAAATGTAAATGAGACTTTATTGATGTTGATAGCATTTTCGTTGTCTATAAGATTTATGATAGTAGAAGTTTTTTCAAGGCTTTTTTCTGTCTATAGGCCTAACAATGATACAATTATTCAAGTATTGGTTTTTAGGAATTTGGTTGATTGGTTGAAGGATTTCATCATGAGCTGACATTGGTTAGAGAAACCTGCATTGAGTACTAGACAGCTGTTTCGTCAGCCTAGTTTGGGACTCTTCAGCGGCAGGCACCCACCCCCGGGATTCGAACCCATGACCTTCTGGTTATAAGCCCAGCGAGCTGGCTCATAGACTATTAAGCCACTGGGACCCGATCCATTGGTCAGCGCATGAATTCTAACTTCTGCCGATTCACGATATAGCGCAACCTCAAGCCGATATCATCGGTGGCGAGTATTTGTCCTTAGACCCGACTGTTTTGTATTTCCCGATGAATGAAAAACAAAGCAATATTACTGTTTTTGCTGATGTTTCGCTTCTTAATGCTACTACATGATTATTGAAGAATTGGCTAATACAGAAATGACTGTAGAAGTGAAGTTTCTGTTTTTTTAAGCTGTCAACCATTTTCTTCATACAAGAATACTGTCATTGTATTTTCTTTTAAAAAATATAAGTCAAATTTCATTCCAAATCATAATGTATGAAAACTTTTTGTTTTCACCTTTCATTCTTTCAGAATTAAGTTGAATACCCCTGGAGGAACTGATAATGAGCAACCGCCTCCATCACCATATTTAACATCACCATTGACACTGTCCGAGAGACAGAGTGTCGCTTCCTCAGAAGGCATTACTCTATCTAGTCCAGAAGTACTAGAATGTGTTTTTCTGCATGCCTTAGGTTGGGCATTCACCAGTGTTGTAGAACAAACGTATCAAAGAGCTGTAGATGCATTTATTAAAACTTTATCCGGTTTGCAGACAGCTGATGAAGGACCTGAAAATAATGTGCTACCTTATGGTAAGTATCGTATTGTTTGGATCAATTTTCTCATAATAAGATATACGAGGTTTTTGCTTGTCTCTAAAGGTATCTGTTTATTGACTTGTCATCGAAACTATTTTTAAGAGCAGGAAATATGATTTTTGCAGTATTGTTATTATTATTAGTATTATAAATAGTTATACTGTCATGAATCTTGTAAAAGTTGAACGTTTTTTGTCTATTTGTTATATTACTAGCATTCAGAAGAGTAGTCTGTTACTGAGGCACAAAGACTGAACAGGATTCTTGACTTTAGACAATTATAAAAAAATTTTAAATCTTACGAAGTTAAATTTTACCCCTAACTGCTGGAAGATATGCAAATGAAGAGCAACAAGTTGGCGATAGAAGAAGCATCTAGAGAAGATAGGACTTCACTTCAGGTGAACATAGAGAAAACAAAAGTAGGTGAGGAAGATTCTTGGCCAACAGCAACTGCAACTGCAACAACAGCAGACAACAATCAGCCAGCATAAATGGGAGAAATCTGAAAGAAGCAACCTCCTCAGCCTACCTACCTACCTACCTACCTACCTGGGAAGCATCGTTTCAAATACAATGAAATTAATGAAGATATCAAGGCGAGGATCGTGGAAGCAAGGCAAGCTTTCCTTTCTCTTAAGTCTGTGTGGAGATAGATCAACAGTACTCAGCATCAAAAATAAGATCCGGATTTTCAACTCCATTGTGAAGTCAGCACTACTCACTATACGGATCGGAGACCTGGCTCGTCATAAAGAGCACCTCAAACAAACTACACACCCTCATCAACAGCTGTCTTCGCTCGTTACTTCTCAAGATCAGATGGCCAGCCTGAAAAGATCAGCAACAGAGAGGGATCTCTGGCAGTGAGCGAACAAACCCAGCAAGAGCCAACTGTGCAACAAATGTGGAGGAAGAAATGGAGGTGAATTGGGCATATTTTGAGAAAACAAACCACCAAGTGACATCACACGCCAGGCTATCGTTCGGCTGGAACCTGAATGAGAAGTTGCGTGTTAGTTGGTCGTCATTGCCAAAGTGATATGGAGGAGGTGATGTGAAGAGTAAGAAAGCTGAATAAAGGTCTCCACAACAATGACTGATAGTAGTGGACGAATAAAGCCAAAGAAATGGGAAAGGTGTCGGTGATAGGTGTCTTCTGTTAGCTATTAGTGCTTTCTGGGGAAGCTGGTCTTAGCAAACCTATGATAATTGGAATAATCGTCGAGGAGATTGGGTGGAACATTATGAGAGGGAATCCGGTTGCCCAATATCCAACTCCGATAGACATAGAAAGATTAAATGGATTCGGAAAAAAAATATGCGAAGAAACCAGGCAGGCTTTAAGCCAAGGAGAGGGTGTATTCATCATGTCTTCACTCTTTTACAGGTTCTGTAAAGTAGGCATACCGGTGTCCATCACCTGTCATTTTTCCTGACCCGAAGGCATCATTCAGCTGTGTAGGCCGAGAGTTGCATTGGAAATGAATAATCGTGAGAGGAATGCCAAGAAAGTACGTCGCACTAATCAAGGCACTCAACTGAGAATCATGAAGTCGTGTAAGAGCATATGGGCAGTTGTCATGTGGAATGATGACAGCTATCAGTCTCTTTTAGAAATGCCCAGTATCTCATCTTTTTATTTAATCTTATCAGAGATGTACTGACAGATGTGACGTTATTCAAATTAAACAGTTTGGGGATTGGCTTGTTACCAGAGTACACTTTCTACGACTTAGAAGTGTGTAGGTGATATTGTTCTTCTAGGTGAAAACACTGACAAAATGTAGAGCTCTCTGAACACTCTAAGCAGAAATCTTAGTATGTTCGGTATGCATTGCACCCCTGTCAGATTTAAGATGATGTTACAGGACTAGCCTGCATGAACTCCTAGTTTAAAGATATGGAGTCAAATGGTAGAGCATGTTGACTATTTTACTTATTTGTCTAATTGCATCAGCTCGAATGGGTTTTTTATTTTTGATTACAGCTTGATTCCACATTGTATTTTTAGTACAAGTATGGAATTTTCAGCATGTGATATCGGTAGCCCAAATTTTGCAGGTCAACCATAAATATCAGATGTGCGTCCGCAGGGGATCGAACCTCGGACCGTGTGCATGGTCGGCGAGACTCTTAACCACTGTGCCACCGATGCGGTTTGAAGAAATCTCAGACAGATGCAATAACCTGTTGTGGGATTTGCAAATTTGTGTCATCTGTGATACAGGTGTGATATCCAGTTATTTATCAAAATACGTGTGTACTGCTCAGCAGTCACCTCGTTCTTCTTTATGATTGTGAAAATGGAAGATATAAAGATACTAGCTGTCTTGTACCATAGGTGTTTAAGTTCTGTCTCACAATCCAAGTAGTATAATATGGTGATTAATATTGAAAATGGACATAGTGTTAGTTATGTGGGGCAATTCAATCGATGAGGTAGTGAAGTTGTATAGATAGAAATTGACAGGACATGTGTTACATTTGCCGAGTGTTGATTTTTATGACGTAGGGAAGCATAGACTAGCTGGTGTCCTCGGAGTGTTAAAAGTCAATCAATGGGGACTGTTGGTGTTATGGTTAGGCAGTGTTCTCAACGTATTCACTCCTTGTAATAATCCAAATTCTAAAATTCTTTGTTAATTTTAATTTGGGTATATCCATCTACTTGTGTATGTTTCCACTAAGTATGGCAACATAAACCAATGAACTGTTTAATTCAATTTTTAGATTTTCCCATAGATTGATTGGACCGAAGTGCTCGGTCGCAGGATGACATGTAGGTTTCTTGTGCAGATGCTTTGACAATGTCTGGGCATGTAATTAGAAGTTAGTTGGTGGGTGGTGACCAGCAGTGGAATCCAGGATGCTCATTTCGTCCTATTTGAGACTCGTGGTCAACTGAGCGCATCTGGATTCCGCAGTGAGTGATCGTCCAATCAATCGACGAGAAAATCTAAAAATTTAATTGAATAATTAGTATGACCCGTTGCACAAGAAATGGCTCTCCTGGCCCAACTGGTCTGATGAAAAACGCTGTGGCGTTTGAGACTATGCTCACTGGGTTCTAGCCTCTATGGGAACGCCATCATTGAATCACTGGGGAATGCAGGTACATCCAATTGAAAAGTCTTTAACTGTTTCTTTGATTAAAGCTTGATTCCACACTGTACTTTTAGTACAAGTATGGAATTTTCAGCATGTGATATCGGTAGCCCAAATTTTGCAGGCCGACCATAGATATCAGATGTGCGTTGGCAGGGAATCGAACCTCGGACCGTGTACATGATCGGCGGGAGTCCTAACCACTGTGCCACCGACGTACTGATGACTGTAAAATGTAAATGAGTGCAACCAAATTACAATCAAATAAAAATAAAGGATAAAACCGACGATTATAAAGCATAGATGAGAAGTACGTAAAAATTACCATCAAATGAAAATAAGAGATATTACTGATTGTAAAATATAAATGAATAACATCAAATTACAATCAAATGAAAATTAGAGGTAAAATTGATGGTTGACATAGGTACAAGTAAGAAATACAGTCCAAGATCCCAAATTACGGATGAGTGAGCACAATTAAAATTGTAGTTATTTGATATTAATGGAGTCTTTATATAATCAGTGTCATTAATTCAAAGTTACACCAGGTAATTATATTATCGAGTCAGGGTCGTGGTAACGATGATTGCGGTTACTGAAACTCCGCCAAGTATGATGTGACGTGTATTTGTTATCACTTGTTTGTTGCAACCGTCGTGAATGGGTTTCCTGATATCTGTGTGAAATAATAATCCCTGGTCTAACAGTAGAAGGTACAGCATGAACCCTATCTACAGGGTCATCATTGCTCATTATGTCATCGTTAAAGTCAGAAACAAGGTGGGCAGATCGATGACGGCGTGCAAGGTGCGATCGGGAATGTTGGTGGCGTGAAAGTGTTGGTTCTCCGACAAGGTCGTACATTTCATCCTCCATATCGTCGGCATCATCTACATACATCTCATTTAACATTTCATCCTCCTCATCTTCGTCATCCTGTAGAACATCTGTGGCAGCAGCCGTGGCAGCTGCTATTCCAACTGCTCCACTACCCTTACCACCTAGACTTCCAGGACCAGTTGACCCCCCACTATGTGTCAGACCTTGCTCATTATCGTCGATCAAAGCCGAGGTGTGGATGCCACTCGATGGATGTATATGAACTTTGATAGACGCTTCCACCACACGATCAATAAGGCGTCCAAATTCTTCCAGAAGTATTCGCTCATTTGCCGCTGGAGGTTTATCGCGACGATCTACTTCTTCAGCCTGGGCCATTATACAAGTAGCTGTTGCCTCAATCACTTCCCAAGTGAAGAATGCGTGCGACAAGATAGGTAAGATAGATAAGATAAGCTTTATTCCAAATCAGTACTTGTGATACAGAATGGAATTCTCAGCATTTTACTACAATATTGCATCCAGTTAGTACATTAACAATAAATATAGTTCTACATAGATTAAGGTTATCTCAGTCAGTTTTGACAACAACATATTAGCATGTCGGTAGCAAAGCCAAAATTTAAACAGTGTTTGAAGGTGTTAGAAAAGTAGATACTACTAGCATATTTGTTGGCGTAAGCGATAGCAAAATGGTTGAGATATACAGAGTGTGAAAGAACGAACAAGAATGTTTTAAGTAGAGTTTGCAAGGAAGAGAGAAACAAAACAGCACATAACAAAAATGAATACAGAATGAAAAAAAGGAGAGAAAAAAACGTTGTACCTGTAAATGATGTGAATTGGAAAGACGAGATCCATTTGTTCTACTGACTACTTAATAAGTTAAAGGTTTCCCGCCTAACGCTTTCTTTATCGCACAGAACTCGAGCTAAACAGAAAGAAATGCGCATCCTGGATTCCAGTGTTAGTCACCATTCACCAATTAACTTCCAGTAAAGTGTTTGGTTTGAAATTGATAATTCATTTCTGTTCATTCAAATGGACAATGTTTTTTTTAATTTTTCAACCCGTAATAGGTACAATACCTACACACCATCCAATGTTGACTGATTATTTATTTGATGTAAATACTTTAATGTGGATACCATGGAGTCATCTTGTACCAGAATATATACATGATGTAAATGCTCGATTTACTCAAATTCTTGTACCAACTGTTGAAACTGTTAAACTTAACTGGATTTTAATGGAACATTTAAAAGTAAGTAATTATTCAATTGAGTAAGTCATCACATGTTATCCTAACAAAGTGGGCAAGTGGAGAAGAAAGAATATATACCATGAAGTATTAGTATGTTCAAAAGACAGGTGCCAGTGTCATGCTGTCTGGTTTTTTGGTGCTAACAGAATTCTGTCAACCAAGTTTAAAGTGTAAGCGCCAAAACTGTGATACTTACCATTGTGCTTCACTCACGATTGATGCTCATTTATCTGGAGGCAGTCGGCAGTAAGCATTTGGCTAAGTTTTCATGTTAATCTTCATTCATCAGAGAAGTGTGTCTGTAAACTTGAAAAAGGATGGAGTTCACTCAGAGGTGTGAGTTTGCAGTCAGTTGTAGAGTTGTCGTGAAATGCTATCTCCCCATAACTCCTTGTAGGGGACTGTCTAGCAAGCTCCATAAGATATCAAGTATGCGAATAAAAATCCAAGTTAATGGGATAATCGTGTAATAGTATATTACAATCAAAATACAATAATAGGTTATGATAATTAAACGGTTACTTGAATATACTGTTAAAGTCCACGGCTACAAATTATTAGTATAATCCACAGAAGCGTTCACTGCTGGAGTCGTGTCTTCTGGTAGAAACTGTGTGCCGGTTGTAGAATCGTCTTGGGATCAGGATAAGAGGAGCCTGCAAAAATCCAAAGTATACAACACGGTTATGAGTGGGGCGAGTAGAAAGTAATGACCAGTGAGAAGGCGAAGCGACCAACTGTACACTGTATTTTTAGATTGTAGTCGGAGGTTATCTGTATTTCAACATGACAGAAAAGTCATGTACAATGTTTCTAATTTCAAGATCTAAAAAAAGGTGTGCAGTCTTATTGTTACGTACTCCACATTCTCACAACTAGTTTAGTCAGTGCTTACACAGAAAGTGTGAGATTTGGTCGGGTGTAAGTCTACCCAGAATGACTATCTACTGACGAATTTCCTTAACAGTGTTCTTGACAAAATCCAGTAACTTTGCTCCATGCATTTATTCCCCTTGATGAATTTGAATAAAGCAAGAACAACAGTGGCGGTTTGTGCAGAATAATATGGTACCATCATTGCTTATTCCGTTGGCTTCTCATCAGCTCAGCTGCCTACAGCCTAAATAAATTATGAGGTTTACGTACAGAAAGGTTTTAACGTAATTGCAAATTTTACATGTTGTCAGTTGACAGAAAGTTCCACAATAAGTGAACAGTGCTCAGAAAACTGCGCTTATATAGTTTTTACACAGGCAGTTCAAGTTTAAACAAAATAAATGTATGCATACAATGGTAAAAGAGTTACGTAATAAAGACGAGATATGCGTTAGATGCAGAGCGACTAATAAATTTGGTAACAATGTAATGAGTTGAACTCAAATCATAGAAATAAGAGACAAGCAAAATTACAGATTATAAAAGGGGGTGAGGTTAGAGACAAAGATAACGTAATCAGATGAGAGAATAAAGACATCCAGTTACCAGGGCAGTCCACCTAGCCCTGTTTTAGCAGATATCTTCATGCCAAACCTTGAGAAAACAAAGTTGTAGCATTCAATTGATCAAACAACTTCCTATTGTCGATATATCGATGACACATTCGTAGTATGCAACAATGAAAGTCATGTATCCTGCCTACTCAAAATATTCAACAACGCACACACAAATATTGTATTTACTATGGAACACGAAAATGATGGAAAGTTCCATTTCCTTGACGTCGCCATGCAACGCCTAGAAGATGGTAGTCTCCAGAGGTCAATCTACCGAAAGCCCACATGGAATGGACAATACTTACATTTTAATAGTTTTTTGTCCAAGTAGCTATAAACGAGCATTAGTCAAAACTCTTCACTATACAGCGAGGAGAATATGCTCTGCAGAGAAATTAGAGGGAGAATATACGATTCTCGGAAAGGGGCTGAAAAACAACGATTACCCTCAAAGATTCATTAACAAATATGGAAGATGTGAAGGCTCAAATGCCAAACAAATCACAGTTGAAAAAAGGCCTGTCTTCATTCAACTAGATCAATTGCATTCACTTTATGCGCTGAAGATGTTGACCAGAAGGGCAACAAAAGCTCGACAACTAAACTAACCAGCTCAGAGAACACTTTAAATTGCAGATCAACTGCATGCTTCAACTTTGTTTTCTCAAGGTTTGGCATGAAGATATCTGCTAAAACAGGGCTAGGTGGACTGCCCTGGTAACTGGATGTCTTTATTCTCTCATCTGATTACGTTATCTTTGTCTCTAACCTCACCCCCTTTTATAATCTGTAATTTTGCTTGTCTCTTATTTCTATGATTTGAGTTCAACTCATTACATTGTTACCAAATTTATTAGTCGCTCTGCATCTAACGCATATCTCGTCTTTATTACGTAACTCTTTTACCATTGTATGCATACATTTATTTTGTTTAAACTTGAACTGCCTGTGTAAAAACTATATAAGCGCAGTTTTCTGAGCACTGTTCACTTATTGTGGAACTTTCTGTCAACTGACAACATGTAAAATTTGCAATTACGTTAAAACCTTTCTGTACGTAAACCTCATAATTTATTTAGGCTGTAGGCAGCTGAGCTGATGAGAAGCCAACGAAATAAGCAATGATGGTACCATATTATTCTGCACAAACCACTGTTGTTCTTGCTTTAACTTTACTCCTTTAAGCCTGTGGGCAATTAATAGAGTAGTCACATTCCAGCAAAGGAAAAATTCACATTCAGACACTTAGACGACAAGACGACTGAGTGATAAATATCCACTTTTCAGCTAGCCACTGGAAGCATGGCACTCGAGTGACTGTGCTTTAGGGTGACACTGTATGCAGCTGTAGTCTTGCAGAAGGCTGGAGTCTGAGTCTGGTTCTTCTGAAAATCAGTCTATAATTATTCAGTCATTGGTTGTACCATTATGTTAATTACTTCTCAACAAAATAATGTCTATAAAAGGATTATTAAAAAGACGGTTGCAGTGAAGAAAATTTTCTTTTCGACAAAGTTATCAACTAGGTTGCACATTACTGTATTTATAGTAAATGTGTGCGAAAGTTCCACAACTATTTCCGGTCAAAGGCTAAATTAATGAAATTACCAAGTGTGATAAACAGGAGTGAGGTAGTAGTACTATTCTAGAAATATTTGAGGTCAAATGTCAAATTGATAAAATTACAAAGTGTAATAATCAGGAGTATCAGTGCTACTATACGGATCAGAGACTTGGCGAGTCATAAAGAGCACCTCAAACAAACTTCAGACCTTCATCAACAGTTGTCTTCGCTCAATACTCAAGATCAGATGGCCGGCCAGAAAATATCAGCATCAGGGATCTCTGGCAATGAGCGAAACAACCCAACAGGAACCGATTGTGAAACAAATAGACAGGAAGAAATGGAGATGGATTGGCCATACTCTGAGGAAACCATCAAGTGACATCACTAGACGAGCCATTGCTCGAGGGAAACCCGAAAGGGAAGCGGCGAGTTGGCCGTCAGTGCAAAGGTGACTTGGAGGAGGTTATGCGAGGAGGAGATGGAAGTATGTGGACAGACGTGGAGCGGGGTGAAAAAGATGTCAGAAAACCGAAGGCAATGGAGGTGCGCAGCTGAAGCCCTATGTTCCTCTAGGAACTGAAGGATACAATAATAATAATCAGGTAGAAAAGACATGCGAAGATTATAATTACTGGAAAAACTTGTCACTTTGTACAATTACGGATTAAGGACGTAGTATTAACAAAATAGGTAGGAGGATTGGACGTATAAAATAAAAAAAACAGCAACCTAATCTAGTAACACAGATAGGAATTCAAAGCGTAAAAGTAACAGCAATTCACAGGGAGATTGGACAAGAAAGGTAATACGATAATCGATATTAGTGGGACTGACGTTTATGATATCCACGGTAGGGACAATAGCTGGACGTATTTCTTTTGAACACATATAGACTGGCTTTGAGGACTGGTCAGTCTAAACAAACAACACCAATGGAATACTAAATTCGAGAAGAACTCCTCGATAAATGCACAGAAAGTCTCAAATTTAAATTGCTTTGTGGAGTGTCTGTAAAAACATTAAGTAACCAGACATTGAATACTGTATCTAAGAGGTACCAGGCTCTGAAAACAATGTTTACCAGAACAATATGTGGTTTTCATCATCAAAACATCAGATTTTGGAAATAAACTTGCTATAAGTTAAAAATATTGACACACGATTGAAGAAACATGAGGTGAAACTGAAACCTGTGTGTATTCATACTCGAGACGAAACAGCTGTCCAGTACTCCCAGTTGGTTTTCCAATGGTTCTCTGACCAATGTCAGCTCATGATGAAATCCTGTAACCAATCAATCAAATCCCTACAAACCAATACTTGAATAACAACGAGACGCTCACTGGCGACTGGCCCTTTTCAGGTAGGTAGTTACCTGGGGTTCTAGTGGGAAGTCATGACCATTAGGATGCAGCAGGTCGGGTTTAAGGACAAATACTCACCGAAGACATTGGCTAGCGGTTGCGCTATATCGTGAATTGGCAGAAGTTAGAATTCATGCACTAGCCATTGGATCGTGCCCCCGTTGCCTAATGGTCTATGAGCCAGCTCTCTGGGCTTGTAACTAGAAGGTCGTGGATTCGAACCCCGGTGTTGGGTGTGTACTGATGAAGAGTACCCAACTAGGACGAATCAGTTGTCCAGTACTCCCTGTTGGTTTTCCAATGGTTCTCTGACCAATGTCAGCTCATGATGAAATTCTGTAATTAATCGGAACACTTTTACGCTGATTGATTATTAAGTAATAATTTGGACACTAAGAATTAGCCCCGCTATAATAACTCGTTTAATATTCTTCTCACTAGTGTGTTAAAAGTAATTTTACTTGGTTTCATATTCTAGTAGTGCCTCATTTTTAATTGGAGTCATGTAAATGTCACTTCCCATTAAAAGATTCATCCAATTTATTAAAGAGTGATTCAAAAACGCTACATGGATAATCACAGAGGCCTACTTCAATCACTGGGCTACTTGAATTCCTATCCAACGCCATGCGTAGAATTTTCTCTATTTCTTTTCGTTTTTAACCATTGATTTATGTCCTTGAGGCCTAAAATGTATTCATGCACCTTTCTAATTGTCTTTCAAACTACTGCTGACCATTTCTCGGCGAAGAAAGAAAAATATCATAAGGAATTGTTTTATTCTTCATATCAAACGATATTGCTCCACATGAGATATCGTAGATTGCCATTTTTCCTAAAGATTCTGAAGGAAGACTGAATATTGTATAATAAAATACGTTGAAAATTCTGTATACTGTGTAAACGTTTTGTGCAGAATAAAGCTGTTATTATCACTATGAATATTAGAAGGTTGGAAGCAGTGGGCAGGAAGCTTTCGACCTAGGTTTCATACTAGTTAGCACTCGTCAGGTGGGTGTATCTAAAAAGTTGAAGGAACCTCATATGCCTTCTGAGTTTCGAACCCATTTCAACCAATGCTGCAATTGGAGACGTCACCACTAAGCTACTTGCGCTTGTGACCGACCTTCTGTAGGACTGTGCTGGATACTTTTGTTTGGTGCAGACTGAATTCCAACCATCTGATATTAACAATTCAAAGTGTACCGTGATGACGACCCACCTAGAATTGTAGCCACATTGCAAGCTTCACTGATAGAATTCAATCTACACCAAAGAAAGCACTATACACATTACTCTAGTTACTAACTAATATCCAATCAAAGTTACAGGATTTCATCATGAGCTGACATCAGATTGAGAACCATTTGAAACCACTGGGGAGTACTGGAGAGCTGTTTCGTCCTAGTTTGGGACTCTTCATAGTACGCACCCACCGGGACTCGAACCCAGGACCTTCCGGTTACAAGGCGAGCTCGTATACCATTAAGCCACTGGGACCCGATCCAATGGCCCTTGAATTCTAACTTCTGCCAATTCATGATAAGGCGCAACCACTAGCCAATGTTTTCGGCGAGTATTCGTCCTCACACCCTACCTGCTGTGCAGCAGGTAGGGGCGTACTGATGAAAAGTTGCAAACTAGAACGAAATAGCTGTCCAGTACTCCCTGTTGGTTTTCCAATGGTTCTCTAACTAATGTCAGCTCATGATGAAATCCTGTAACCAATCAACCAATTCCCTACAAACCAATACTTGAATCCAATCAAAGTATTATCCTTATTAATACGAATGAACTTCTGAGTGTTTGTGTCGTATATCTTAATGATGAGCGTCAGTGAACTATAAAGACAAGACTGTTATCTGCCTCCAACGATATATTTCTGAGCAGATGTTGGCCAGGCTGCCGAATAATTCTTAATTTCACTTCAGTAACCCGAAGTTTCTTCTAATAATAATAATAAATTAGCTCAAACAAAGTGACAGTACCATTTTAATTTTTAAGTTAATATGTATTTCCTATTGATTGATCATACTGAAATGGAATGGTCGATCTGTATTGACAACACATCGGTACCTAGTACGGATGCTTCAGTGATGTCTGAAGATTAACATGATGTGTTTTTTTGTTGTTGTTGAGAGTGACCAACAATCGAATTCAGCCGGTAAATTTTGTCCTATTGGAAACTTGTTAGCTGAATGTACCCTCATTTTCAGGGATTAATTGTGTTCTCACTAATACTCGAACTTTTCACCCATCTTTGGTGTTTTAAACAATCAGGTACATGGTTTGTGTCTCAGTGGAAACATGACCATTACTCACTGAGAATACAGGTGCACTAGGTTGATGAGTCTCGATTAAAGCGAAAGGCACATCCTCGATTCCACTTCTAGTCACTATCAACTTAAATAACAAAATAAAAATGCATTTAATCATTGTTTATAATTTGAATTTATTTTCTATATATATATTACAGCTTCGTCATCCATTACTTGTAATTGGTGAAACAGGTTCGTGTAAAACTGCTACAATTGAGAGTACATTGAATTCATTAGATCGTGATAAATACAGTACACTGATAGTGAATTTTTCATCACGTACAACTGGTTATGATGCAATGCGTGTTATTAATTGTAATGTAGAAAAACGTGCAAAAGGTGTATATGGTTCAATTCCTGGAAAAAAATTAGTTATATTTATTGATGATATGAATATGCCACAGGTAAAATGAGTTATCCTTCTTTGAATAATAATATTGTCTTCTATTCAAATAAAATAAAGGATTAAAAAAAATACCTTGTTCGTCGGTGATTTAGAGGTAGAGCGTTGGCTGACCATGCACATGGTCGGTCCGGGGTTTGAGTCCCGGTCACTGACGCATTCCTTTACCTATCTTAGCTAGGCAAGGAGGAAAGGCTGGGCGTGAGGCTAGCTACGCCAGCCACCCTGTAAAAACATCACTGCTACTGAAACTTCAAAGCTCTAGCTTGAAGCCCTATGTTCCACTGGAAACGTAAACAAATTTTAAAAAAAACATCTCCAACAGAAGAAGATGGGAAGTAAAACACTAGTGTTTACAGGAAACCAACGCATTCAAACAGATATTTGAACTTCCGATCATCCCATCCTATGTCACTAAAAATAGGATTGGTGAAATGTTTAAGTGAGAGAGCACAAAAACTAAGTAGTACCGAGGAAAATCTAAGATAGGAAGTGATCCACATAAAAGAAGCCTTGAAACTTAATAATTAGCCTGATAAATTAGTCAGGAAATATGTAAGGGAACGTAAAAATAAATAATGATAGTAGGGATAGTGATAATACGATTACTAATAATAATATTAGTAATGACGACACCAGCAATAAGGAATGTAAATCATCAGTAGTAATTCCATACAACGAAGGAATCTCGGAAGCCATCTTGCGGAGAATTCTTAACAAGACAGGAATAAAAGTGGCTGGCATTCAAAGCCTCCACAAGCTCAATTAGAAACAAACTTTGTCAGTTAAAAGATCCTGCGGAGTCTTTAAAACAAAACAATTTAGTTTATCTAATACCCTGCCTGCGTTGACTGTCAGGTCAAACACACAGGTCAAAGTAATAGAACAGGTGCAGTCAGACTAGCCAAGCATAAAAACTTAGCAAAATCTAGATTAGTTGACCCGAATAAGATAAGAAATCTCGAGAATAGTTCAGCCATAACACTCAACAAATGAAATTACACACAACCATACAATAGGATGGATGGGATAAGATGACAGTTGTAAAATCTAATGTCACAGGGTGGAGGTAGAGATTGATTACTGACTGAAGCTTTGTTTATCGAATCAACTGCAAATACATATATTAGAAATGATTCAACACCTGTCCAGTTGGATATCTGGAAAATTCTACTACCCCTATGACGAATAGGAGAAGACAAAGAAAACTATAGTGCGAATTATGGTGCGTCGGTGGCCTAGCGGTTAGGACGCTCGCTGACCATGCACATGGTCTGGAGTTCGATCCCCAGCCGACACACTCCTTTACCTCGCTAAACGAGAAATAATTCTGGTAAAGAGGAAACATTGGGCATTAGGCTAGCAACCCTATCCTGTAAAATAAACACTACAGAAACTTCAAGCCTCCATCTGGAACCCGAGGGGATGATACTGAGTAGTTATTGCCACACACACTCACACTAGCTGAATAGATAGTGAATGCTAGAATAACTCGTAAACAGCGATCACGTAATACCATAGCAGTCTTTGCGTGAAGATGAGACTCATTGGCTTAAGCATTCAACTTACAGCTAGTGAATCACCTACTTCTTCCTGGGCAATTGAGTAGTGTCTGTAGCCCCCTGACATATTAAATATGGATTATAAGCTGTTATATGAAATATATGATTAGGATAACGCAGTTCACCCAGTAGTCTTTATGTTAATCCCCCTAGAAACAATCAGTAGGATTTTACGTACTGAAAAAGTCTTTAAAGAGGCGTTATTCTTCATAATACTGAATTGGTTTATTTGTATGCCGCTTAAACAAAATCTTCAGGTGAATGAAGAGTTATTATATGACACAGAAGTTACAAATGTGAGCACATTGATTTATACTTCTGAGACCACTTGGTACCATTATTATTCGTTAACTGGGTCCCAAGTGAAACACAGGGTTTCTGTAGCACAAATTCATTTCATCCTCTTCGCTGCAGTCCTTATCAACGGGTTCCAAGATTGCCCATAAGCATTTATCTTCACCTCACCCTCGGACAGACACATAACTTGTTGTCTGCCGTTTGGGTTCTACCCGAGGGTCTGACTCTTGATTTCTCTCAACTGTCTCTTCAACGTATGTCCAATCTATTTCTACCTTCTTCTGTATATTTGACAGAGTTCCTTGTTGCTCAGCCTTTTTTTTCCAGCTATTCGTTTTGAAGGATTGAGGTAGTGGAGTTTTCTATTGGTGAAAGCCTCTTGTAGCCTGTTGAAAATACTTTAGACGACTCATCAGTTCTCTGAGTTATATAGAGACATTGGCTTGATAGTAGAGTTAAATATTCTGATTGTGGAATCCATCATAATTTGCTTAATTTAATAAATTTGAACAAGGCATTAAGAAGACAAATTTCGCGAGATGATACCTTCATTTCGTAGTTTCTTTACAACCGCTTTACAACTAACATGGTTAACAATGATAAAATAAAGATCATGACAATTACCCAGTTATATAAAACAAAAGTACATACTAATGACCAATCATATTAAGATAGGTCATGCAGTCCAGGGTAGGCGAAGATTGAAGTCTATTGATTTTTGTACACACAGTTTAGGCTGTATGTGATTAATCCAAAGTGCTTCCATCACCTTCAATAACCTTGAATTAGAGTTATGTGAAATAATTGTGAAATAATTCTCCTTATCACAAAATCGCCAAATGGATTACAGAGGTCCTTACGCCTGTAAGAGACTCATTATCAAATCATTCTGTAAAAAGTTCATTTGATCTTACAGAAATGCTGGACACCTTGAACATTAAGGAAAAGGTTATGTGTTCAATTGACATAGAATCTTTATTCACCAATGTTCCCCTTCATGAAACTGTTGATTTTATTTGCGATTACATCACAAGCAATGGCATAAACTTACCCATTCCCGTCACTTACATCAAAGACATAATCTTAATGTGTACAGAAAATATTAGATTCACATTCCAAGAAAAGGCATATAAACAAATCGATGGTGTTGCGATGGGGAGCCCTCTGGGGCCCCTGTTAGCAGATATATTTATGTCGAAATTAGAGAAACAAATGCAAGGTATGCTTGGAGGATTTATGCTGTATAAACGTTATGTAGATGATACTCTTATTATTGGTAATAATAGTGAATCTATTGAAAACTTCATTACTCTATTTAATCATATTCATCCAAATATTCGAGTGACTTCCGAACTAGAATCGAATAACAAACTTGGTTTCCTGGATATTACTATGACTAGGAGAAATGATGGAACGATTCAGCGCTCTATTTTTCGTAAACAAACATGGACTGGACAATATCTTCATTTTACCAGTTTTGTTCCTATCCAGTATAAACGTTCCCTAGTGAAATGTTTGTTCTCAAGGGCCCGAAAAATATGCACGAGTGACACACTGATGGATGAGCTTCGACATGTACATTCAGTTTTATTAGCTAATGGTTATCCGGAGAGCTTTATCACTTGTCACAGCAAAGAAAAACCACATCTCGAAAAGACAGCTTCTGTACCAAAGAAAGCCATCTTTATTAATCTACCATTCAAGGGCGACCAGATTATGCAGTTGACAACTCAAAGACTTCGATCAGCCATCAAACGCACATTCTACGCCGCATCTCTTTTTCTCACTTGCCGAACATTTTCGATCCCTGTTCCTACGATTAAAGGACGAAATTCTGTGGACTCTACTTCAAACTGTATCTACAAGTTCACCTGCAGCTGCGGTGACACCTATATAGGTAGAACTAACAGAATGTTCCAATGTCGTCGAAAAGAACATATTCCAAAATGGCTAGTAAACCATATCGAAAATCCCAACGCGATTAATCTTAATAGAAATCCAGCATCATCCATTGCAAAACACTTATTAATGTCTGGTCACAAAATAAATATTAATGACTGTTTCACAATTATTTCACATAACTCTAATTCAAGGTTATTGAAGGTGATGGAAGCACTTTGGATTAATCACATACAGCCTAAACTGTGTGTACAAAAATCAATAGACTTCAATCTTCGCCTACCCTGGACTGCATGACCTATCTTAATATGATTGGTCATTAGTATGTACTTTTGTTTTTATTTAACTGAGTAATTTTCATGAACTTTATTTTATCATTGTTAACCATGTTAGTTGTAAAGCGGTTGTAAAGAAACTACGAAATGATATCATCTCGCGAAATTTGTCTTCTTAATGCCTTGTTCAAATTTATCAAAGGGACTAATTGTTTTAATTAATTTAATAAATAATATACCGGCCTATGAATCATCTCAGGACTCAGCTGCAAGGGTACTAACCATATCATAAATACAACACACTTTATGATCCAAATCCATCTCTGTTCAAGCTGCAATACTTTGGAAGACGCCACAAAGAAAGCAGAGAAATGAAATATAATGAAACTGTAATAGACAAATAATTTACACTAAAAATGACAACTGAATGAGGATTAGTGGCTCGTATCCGGAAGGCGGAATATCACAAGAACAAAACACATGTACATGATCATAAAAAACTGTGAGTCATGTTACCAGCAGTCCGCATCCATTGGTTCTCAGCGGCCAGTCAGTCAGTCAGTCTACACCCTCCTCCTGTGTATCTCAAACTAACACTCGTTAATTTTGTGCATTGGTGCCATGTTTCGGTTTGACCACCTCTTACTCTTTCTCAACCTAGTTCTATTTTACCTCCCAGTGTTCTTCAAGAAAGATTGTGGTTTCAGTATATGTGACGTATGCTCTAATCTCCTTGAACAAACTGTAGTATTTTCCACCATTTATAACCGTTCTATATGCGTCAGTGGCACAGAGGTAGAAGGCTTGCCAACTACGCATGTGGTACGAGGTTCGCTCCCCGGCCAAAGCATTAATTTACCTCGCTAAGCCAGTAATAAGACTTGTAAAGAGGGAAGAGTCTAGCAACCCTATTCCGTAAAAATATACACCACTGCTACCGAATCTTCCAGCCTCTAGCTTGAAGCCCTATCTTCCACTGGGAAAGTAAAAGAATATAAAAATAATAATAATGACCTCCCCAACAGTCATTCAAGAACTTAAATTCATAAAAACAATAAACTGATTGAGGGAAAAAGTCAAAATGAGATCAGTATATTCATTTAAATTCCTTATTTTCCTATTTTATATGGTCATGTTTTTGATGCTATTGATTTTTTGTTTTTGTTGTTGTTGTTGTAGAAAGATGCATACGGTACACAACAGCCTATAGCACTACTTCGAATGGTAATCGGTAGAAATGGAATGTATCAGACAGGCGGTGATTTATCATGGAGACAGCTAAAAGATATGACCTATGTAACTGCTATTGGTCCACCAGGCGGAGGAAGAGAAACAACTGACCCGCGTTTTGTATCTTTATTTACAGTTTATCATGCATTAGCTCCATCAGCGTCTAGTTTGACTAGTATATTTGGAAAAGTGTTGAAAGGTCATTTGCAGAATAGATTTTCTGCGGAGTTAACAAATCATTGTGAAATTTTTACTCAAATGAGTTTAGATGTTTACCAGTAAGTAAGATTGAGTACATGTGTACAATGCTTTATTATTATTATTATTCCTTTGGGTTCCTAGTGGAACATAGGACTTCAACTGCACCTCTCCACTTGCCACTTCTGTCTTCCTTCTGTTGTACTTTTCATCTCTTTCCATGTTAGACCATACTCTTTCAACTCCTCTCTCTTCACACGATCTCCCTCCCACTGACGACCCACTCGCGGCTTCCCAATCACTCGGGTTCCACTCGAGAAATGGTCTGAAGCGTGCGCGATGTCACCTACCGGCCTCCTCAGCGAGCGAGTGTCCAATCCATCCATCTCCACCTTCTCCTGCATATTTTTTGGTTGGTGATTGCTTCTTGTTTTGTTTGTTTGTTCCCATAGTTTCTTGTTGGTGATTCTTTCCGGACCGGCCATCTGATCTGATCTTCAGTATAGAGCCAGAGAAGACAGTTGGTTGTTGATGAAGGTCTGCAATAACCTGTTGGAAATATTCTTTGTGACCCGCCCACCCGCCAAGTTTCTGATCCGTTCCGTATAGAAGAACCGACTGACTTGACGATGTTTGTATTGAAAATCCCACCGACTGAATTTTGTTGTTGATTCTGGCTGAGTGACGAAGATTTCCAGATTGGTTGTTTCAGGTTGATGAATGTGTTTCTCGCCTGCCTTCCCGACTCTCGCTCGATTTGACATCCTCCTCGTCCGTTCCTCCTCCTGTAGTTGAGACAATGCTCCCTAGCTAGATAAGTGAATGAATGAAGTAACCTCTTTCAAATCCCTCGCGTTGATGGTGATTGGCGATGGATGTTGCTGTTGTTGTTGCTGTATTACTAACTCTTTATCTCTCGTATTTATACTGAGAATAGCCTACCTAATCAAGATGTCAGATGTCTGGCAAAACACTGTAGTGCATTCACTTTGATTATGCAATCTATGCTGCTGATTATTACACCTAGCTGTAAATCTATTCACATCCGACAAAATTCCTCCATAGTTAGATTTCAGTATGGATTCAACTTCATCAATTACCTAACCTGAAGTATTCTCTTCAGAGAGTTAGCTTGCTTAAAAACCATCACTTTTCTGATGAGTAGATCATACAATTTGTGACTTTTTGGTTCAAGGGTAGAATACTTGTCAGCCACGCAAGAGGTTTAGGTTTGATCTAAAGCTCACGTATTCTTGTACCTCACTCACCCAATTGGTTTCAACATAGAAATTTGCACAAAAGTCCACCAGTTCGAGTTGTCACTCTCCATGTAGAGCACAAAGGAACATAAAAAAGAGAGAGAAAAAAGTGATTCGAAGGAATGCTAATGAGCAGAGCTGTGAAGGAGAAAGAATAGTAGTATGGAAAAACAGTGAGGTCTAATTTGCGTTACAGATCACAGGAAGTGAAGGTATCTACACCACTAATAACGATTCCGGGTCATATCACCAACCACCTCCATCCATTGGTTCTTAGAATTCCGAGGACCACAACCAGACAGTCTACACCTCCCTACGTGTTCCAAACTAACTGTCGAAGATTGCACAGACTGATGAGAAGTTTTGTATCAGCCAGCATTGTCTGTCGAGGAAGACAATGGCTAGGTATGCATAACACATATCCCATCCATATCAGTCGATTTGACTTCACGAATTTGTCAACTGACTTTCTCTCCTTACCTAACATTGGATGCCTGACTTCAATATTATTCGCCTCACCTAGTGAATAACAAGCTCTGAAAAGAAGGAAGGTCAGGTGTCAAAGTCGAGGAACCCCACCTTGAAAAAGTAGCTGTTTTTACAACCGAAACTTCAAAAAGCTTGAAGCCCTGTTTTTCACTTGGAGCGTAAGAAATGGGAAAAAACAAACTTTGGTCTGACTATTTTTGAATTTCAGAAGAAACTCTGATTAACTGTCACCTAAGACTGTGAATTCTGCAGTTATCTGTTTGGTGTCCAGTAAATGGTTGTAAAAAACAATTTGTAAAACTAAAACTGTATCTCTCTGAAACTTATAAAGCTGAAAGTCCGTGATGGAATCATGGATTTTAATCCCAAATGATCCAGGCTATTATTATTATTATTATTATTACGACTATATGAGATTTCATTATTAAGAATTATCAAACCTAAGATTCCTAAGATTTCCTACAACTGACGCTGGAACAGATTTTCAGCTCGGCTGGATGATATTGTTGTAGTGTTGACTTTGGTCATCAAGAAAGACAGTTATATCATTCATGAGGAATTCAAAAGAAAAGTCCACCTCATACAGGGGTCTACTGTGAAGATATTGTCTCGTGAATAAACCAAAACGCTCAGAGTGCACAACTACGCTAACCGCGTTCTAAACTCATTAAATGTCGGGTGAACTGGATACTGAGTTGGCAGTCTTTTAGCTTGATTTAATAAATTGGATTACTGAAGATTTTGAGTGAATGTAGATTTGGTTACAAAGTGACACTGGTTAAAGACTAATTAAAAAAACCGAGGATCACAGGACACCTGTGTACACCAACGGCTCCAGTAGATATCTGACCTAGGATCTCCAGAATATCGGGTGAGCCACTTGACTACCTGCGAGTGTGCCCTGTTGAAGAGTTCTAAACTAGAACGAAACGGCTATCTACTACTACTGGTTTGGTTTTCATTGATTCACTAAATCATCATGTATCATGAGGAAATCTACAGTGGAAATGATTCGAAGATATCAACAGGAATCAAATAATTATGTCAGGTGAAAAGGTTAGGATCTCACGGTTAAAAATATTCTAATTATATTAAATATCCCCATTTCTAACTGCTTAATATTAAGATTATTATAGATCTTTAAATAGTCTGCATAAGCTAATTTGTGTTATAAATAGTTACAACAGAGTGAAAGAGATGTAGTCGGAGATGCATGAAGGGTATTTTTAAGATTGTTGTTCATATTTTGGTGATTCTGGTTAACAATCTATCAATGGGGAACTGGAGCGACTCAAACAAGTCCTCATAGAAAATGGATATCCTCCAAGATACATTTAGAAAAAACATGAAGTTAAAGCAAAAGTCTGAAAGAAGCCAGACGATGCCGAAAAAAAACTACTATTTATGAACGTTGAATTCAAAGGTGATACCGTAGCTGAGATCCTGAAGAATCGCTGCTTATGCAGATCATTGAGAAAAGATTTCTTTATGGCTGAGCTACATATCAGTTTCTACAGCCGACAAATGATCAAGGGATATGTGAAGGATAAACTGACATTTTGGACCACTTCAATGTGTGTTTATAAATTCACCTGCTTGTGTTGAACTAGTTATATTGGCCGCACAAAACGCACACTTTCTAAACACATCTCTGGACATTATCCGGCATAGTTAACAAAAGGACGACACAAGGCAGTTACAAGTTCAATTCTCTAGCACTTAATAAGCTCAAGCCATATAGCTCCACCAGAGTCATCGTTCAAGATCATCTACAAGGTGAGGCCAAATGGTACAAAGGGGGGGGGAGTTAGGTTTCGGCTTTTGTGTATGGCGCAGGCATTGGCAGTTCGTCAGCGCAGAAAAAGTTTGTCCAGTCTCTTATTCTACCACGGTCTTAATCTCTTGACTGGTCGTTTTCTGTGGTAAAAAAGTTTTTATTAATTTTTAATTTCACTTTATAGTTTACCTTAATAATTAATTCAATACTATCAGTCTTATATGTCCTTTTTGAACATTTTCACACATATTAAAGTGACACTCAACTAATTTCAATCTTATCGAATTTCTAACCCTTTCTTCCATTGTGATGTTGAGTAATACGCAGTTTACAACTTTTATTTTCAATTCAAAAGTCACTTCTGAGTAATTATGACTTATTATGTCTTTTCTACCCGACCTTCCAGACTATGATACATTGTAATTTTTATTCAAGTGTTGTTTTAATTTAACCTTTGACCTGAAATATTTCTAGAATAGTACTACTATCTATCTCCTGTTTATCACACTTGGTAATTTCATTGACTTAACCTTTGATCTTCACTATAAATACACGAATGTACAGCCTAATTGATGACTTCGTCGAAAAGAAAATTTTCTTCTCTGAATTGTCTTCTATTTCCTTTGGAGTTTTATTAGCGGCGATGTTACTCCTTGCAGAATGAGACTGCTAGACTCATATCCAAACTTCCTTATATTTTGGACTTACTACATGCTAGAAATCTAAGCGAAGTCTAGGAGTGTGTCAGCTGTAAATCGAACCCGAACCTCCTGAATAGCTGGTCGGTTATTCTACCATTGAATGACCGAAAATATGGTGAAGAAGAAAATGGTTAGTTATGTGGATTCACCAGTGGGTGTAGTCAGTGTTATTCCTCTAGCCCATAGTAGTGTAGACTAAATTCTACCAGTCAACTTTGCAACGTAGTCATCAAGCTGGAGCGGGGTGGGGGGTTAGCCATGTTGGTGCACATTGAATTGTTATTACATGGTTGATGAATATCAGCGGGAAGCCACCGAAAATTGGTACCTTCGAGATTAAAAATACTCTATGGTGATGAGTGTCAATAAGAAAAAAATACCTAGATAGTGGTCTTCCTGAGAATCGCTAATAGCTTAGTGTAGAAAAATAAGTAAGAAATATAAGAACTGTAATATAGCCACATTAAAACTGAAACTAATTGGTGAATGGAGACTAGCAGTGGAATCCAGGATAACGCGCATTTCATCCCATTTGGGGCTCGTCACTGGATGTACCTGCATCCCCCAGTGAGTGATGATGTTCCCTCCAAGGTTCGAACCCAGCGCCCATTGTTTTAAACGCCAAACCGTTATCCACTAGACCACTTGGGCCTTAAGAGCCACCTCTTGTGCAGCGGGTAATGTTAACTGCGGAACGCAGGGATATCCACGAGTCCCTAATAGGATGAGATGCGCATTCTGGATTCCACTGCTAGTCACCACCCACCAATTAACTTCTAATTGCATGTCCAGACACTGTCGAAGCATCTGCACAAGAAGCCGACATATCAACCTGAGACCGAGCACTTCGGTGCAATCAGTCAACAGAAAAATCTAAAATTCAGTTATAAAACTGAATCTGTTGAGAATGAATATCTCTTCCTGATAGTCAAAAAAAGACAAAAGCTTTGTGCACTTGATTTGAATTTCAGTAACCTCTGCACCATCAACACACAACAATTTAAGTTTAAAACAAACCTTGAATTCACTTAATTTCTGTTTTTTACTCTGACAGATCAGTTAAAAATGGATTACTACCAACACCTCTTCGATTTCATTATACCTTCAATATGCGTGAATTATCACGCCTACTTCAAGGATTATTACAATCATCACCGGAACGTTTTAAAGGATTACAAAAATTTGTTCGTTTATGGAGACATGAATGTTTACGTGTATTTCGTGATCGTATGATTGATGAAAATGATGGTGATGCAGTTAATGTAAGTTAATGAAATAGTTGGAAATTTCATAATGTCAATTTATAATTCTAAAAGCCTTCGTGAAGTCAGTCAGTCAGTCGATGTGCAAGCATAGAGATATGGAGTACCGGCATCATGTTTGAGGCTAGCTGGCTGGCTTGCTAGGCTGCTCGGAGTGCAAAAGAAATGAGAAAATATATTATAGAGGTCATAGAAACTTTTGAGTGTAGAGGAAATGGGAATGGGGCATGCAAGTGGCTAACTGGCGAGTCAGTGATCTACTCCGGTGACTCGGATGACAGCCACGAACGCAAGTAGGGAGTAGCTATCATGATGTAGCATCGAAATCCAATCTCCTTCAAGATAATAACAACAAGATTCAACTCAAAAGTGAGGATAGTTACAATCATACAATGTCACTTACAGTGTTGCAAACAATGCGGAAAAAAGAAGACTTCTTCAGATAAATACAAGCAGTAATAAACAAGACCCCAGTCATATGGAGAAATGAAAAGTTCTAATGGGTAATATGAATGCCAACAAAACTTAAGAGCAGACAATACAGAAGGAGAACTCACCAAAGGTTGGGAGGCTTTCGGAGAAATAAATAAGAATGGAAAACTCTTTGTAGACTTTCTCAGCTTCAGTGATTTGTTGATTGGAGCAGTGTGTACAACCCCAAAGATCTACACTGGTCTACATGAATTTCACTAGATGGACACATGGAAAGTCATGCAGACTTAACAACAATCTCAAGAAAGTGAAAATTCAGGTTACTGTACACAAGATGAAGAACAGAAGCAGACATAATCTCATACCACTATCTATTCAAAGGAACTTTTAAGATCTAGTTGAAAGCCTTCAAAGAAGTTGGACATATTAATAATATAATAATTATTGCTTTATTCCAAAAACAGTACTAATAAGACAGTAAGGAATTTTCAGCATTCAGTACAATATTGCATCTAATTTACTGAAAACGACAAAAATAATGAACATTACATAATAATAATAATAATAACAAAAAGTTGTTATAACAGCTATGTAGCAAATTACAGTATGCAATACGGAGAAAAATATACATAAAGTATAAAATTATAGTAATAATAGTAATAACAACTAAAATAAAATAGCCAAGTTATAATTAAACGATAGAAAGGGTGACACCATAAAATTAAAGAAGGATGAACGATGAAAGGGTCGATTCACTGTGCTAATTACATAGTAACTTGTAAGTTTCACGTCTAACAGAGTCTTCGTCACATAAAGTACGGGTTAAATAGGGTATTGTAGAATTTCTGTACTCAGTAGTACCAGCATATAACTTTTCATATTGACTTCTCGTCCTACCCGATGAGATACAAGGGGATAGTTGTGAATAAAGGGGGTACAGAGGGTCTGACAGTATAGCCTTTGCCCATTTCGTACAGGAAGTTATATGCCTCTCGACTATAGTATTAGCGAGCTCATGCAGTGGCAGACCACAAGCTCTACTCACAGCATTTAATACTCTTCGTAGTATGATATAATCTTTTTTGAGCAGCCCAGGAAAGATTAATGGAGAGCAGTAGAGTACAATAGGTAAAATACAGGAGTTTAAAAATTGCAAAACTAAAGGTTGGTTGATACCTGATTGTCTTAACTTTTTAATGTAGAAGGTAAGACGAAACGTTTTCTTAGAGATAGATAAGATGTGGGATGACCAAGAAAGGTCAGAGGAAAGAACTAATTCAAGGTATTCAATGCTTGATTTGGTTTCAATTTCAGTCCCACCTACGCTGCAGGCATCATGGGAACTAACTAGATCATGTATGTCGCGTCGATGCTTGAAAATAAAGTTAACTGCCTGACATTTGGAAGGATTTAACATAAGACCATTTGACTTAGTCCACTTGCTCATCTCCAACAGAAAGCTAAGCCATAGACTGTAATTCAAGAAAAGCCTTTTGGAACTTAAAGGAAGAAATAGTTACAATAATAATAACAATAATAATAGTGATAATATTATATACATTTAACTTTATAAATCACATTGTGATAGGTGAATTTCTTCCTCTCCTCTCTTATTATATATAATAGTCAATTATACAAAATCAAATAGAAGAACATTTTGATGATGATTTTGATTATATCATGAATGATCCTATTCTCTTCGGGGATTATTGGGCAGCAGGGAATGATGAAGATGATTTACTTTATGAAGATATGCAAGATTATGAAGTATGCAGAGCAGTTGCTGAAGAGGTAATGAATAGAGTAATCATCTATTATTATTATTATTATTATTATTTATTGTTCCTTTGGTTTCCAAGTGGAACATAGGGCTTCAACTGCACGTCTCCACTTGCCACTTCTGTCTTCCTTCTGTTGTACTTTTCACCTCCATCCACGTTAGTCCATACTCTTTCAACTCCTCTCTCTTCACACGATCGCCCTTCCACTGACGACCCACTTGCGGCTTCCCAATCAGTCGGGTTCCACTCGAGAAATGGTCTGAAGCGTGCGCGATGTCACCTACCGGCCTCCCTCCTCAGCGAGCGAGTGTCCAATCCATCTCAACCCACTTTCTCCTGCATATTTGTTGGTTGGTGATTGCTTCTTGTTTTGTTTGTTTGTTTGTTCCCATGGTTTCTTGTTGGTGATTCCTTCCGGCCCGGCCATCTGATCTGATCTGATCTTCAGTATAGATCCAGCGAAGACAGTTGTTGTTGATAAAGGTAACGTCTGAAACAGGCTGTTGGAAATATTCTTTGTGACCCGCCCGCCCACCAAGTTTCTGATCCGTTCCGTATAGAAGAACCGACTGACTTGATGTTGTTTGTATTGAATATCCGACCGAATTTTGTTGTTGATGCTGGCTGAGTGACGAAGATTTCCAGATTGGTTGTTCCAGGTTGATGAATGTGTTTCTCGCCTGCCTTCCCGATTCTCGCTCGATTTGACATCCTCTTCGTCCGTTCCGACTGGCTGTATTTGAGACAATGCTCCCTAGCTAGATAAGTGAATGAAGTAACTAACCTCTTTCAAATCCCTCCCGTTGATGGTGATTGGCGATGGATTTTGCTGTTGTTGTTGGTTATTTTCATAACCTCCCTCTTGTTCACCTATGTTCACCTGGAGTTCTGTCTTCGCCATCTGCTTCTTCGACCAGTTTGTCGGTTTTCGCTTGTAAGTCTTCGATTTTGTGTGACATCAAACATGAATCATCCCCGCGAGAAATCCAGGCCTTCTAGGTTCCTCACGTCGATCCAGAATATCCCTGTCTGCTTATTTCCCACTGTCTGACGCATAATCTAGTCCACCACAATTAGGAATAACATTGGTGATATCTGCTATAGACAAATTTGATTTATTATCATATCGACTTCAGAAATGATGGAAGAGATTTCTACCTTGGGCAGATGATATCTTGTGTAGTTGCATTCTGTCTCTGTGTGTGTGTATGTGCGGAATAGCTTATTTACAAAGCTCTCATAAATGTTTATGCTGAAGTTTACACTAGAGGTGTTGTCTTGAAGAATAATGAAGGCTTCACATCTAAAATGTATACAGGTCAGAGAAAATAAAACTATAATAGAAAAGATTTGTAACTCAGGTGGATGATTTGCAATTAATAGTGTTCTCTGGGCTGGTTGGTTTAGTTGCGGAGCTTTCGTCGTCTTTCTGGACGACATCTTCAGCGCAGTATTTTGGCTAAAGAGAAATGATTTAAATTTCTTCATGAGTTATATAATTGCGTCTCCCGGTAACCATCTTTAGATATGTATTGACCGTTTTCTATTGATTGAGATTTTAAACTTTCTGGTCATCTGATTTACTTTTTATTAGTTGATATATTTCATCTATATTAACGTGTTTATTAATTTCATTTTCGTTTGCCTACCAGGCTTCTAGGAATTCCCTGGCACATTTGTATTTCCTCTGTCTAAGATTTTGACATTATCCCAATCCAACTGATGTCCATAATTGTCTGTATGTATTGATCTTAAAGAATTTACATCATGTCATTTCACGGCTGATTTGTGTTCTTGGATTCTTATTCGAAGGGGACGCCCACTTTGGCCGATGTAATGTTTGTTACAGTTCATACAATTTATTTTGTAAATGGTGTTAATTTTATCTCCTTTTTCTGTTGGATCTTTTGGTTTGCATAAGATCGAATTAAGCGATTCGGCAGGTTTGTGTGCCACATCTATATCAAACGGTTTCATTATTCTAGCCGTTATTTCAGAGATATTTCTGATTTATGGTAGGATGGATTTCTTTTTGGTCCTTGGTGATAGTTCTTTGTTGGTGCTTTGATTCGGCTTTAAACATATCTAAAGATGGTTACCGGGAGACGCAATTATATCACTCATGAAGAAATTCAAATCATTTCACTTTAGCCTAAATACTGCGCTGAAGATGTCGTCCAGAAAGACGACGAAAGCTCCGCAACTAAACCAACCAGCTCAGAGAACACTATTCATTGCAAAAAATAAAACTATACCAAAAACTATTGGTTTTACGCATTTACTCAACTTTAGATAGTATCCTTTGTACAAAGACAATTTTCAGATATCCTTATTCATCGCTATGCATTCAGCTGATGTGGTGCAAATAGGACGAAAGGTGTCTAGTATTCTACTGCTAGTCTATATCAAACAACTAAATTTATTGTCGAAATGCCTGTTATCTAGATTAGTAATTTTACTTTTTGAATTCTTTTTAGAGGTACATATCTGTCTATATATATATATATATTGCATTAAACAGGGATAGTGTATTTGAGTTCGTTACCACTATTGAAACAACATACAACAAAAATATAAAGCTGACTACTGTAATATTATTCCTTCAATGAGAAAAATACAAAGGACTGACTTAGATGGCCAACATCTACTACCCCAATGGTAAAGTGATATGACTGGAAATTACGTGTAATTATACAGTTATTTCACACGAATAATAAACTGTTGGTTTAAGATTGCAAATTCACAGGCTCTTAAATTCCAGTCACAATAGCTGAATAATCAACGAATTTAACCTCGTAACCTCAAAGTCCCTGGTCGGATCCCTAGTGCGCTCTTCTAGGTGCCTTCTACGGTAGAGTCGCAAACTAGGATGAAACAGGTGTCCAGTGTTTGTTTTTTTTAGCTGATGTTGATTCGCGGCAAAATCCACATTACGGATTAATTCAAAACTTCCAACAACCTGAGCTTTAAGACAGATTGGGATCAACTGTCTACTAGGTAGATAATAAACCTCCTCTTGTCCTAACATTATATTTTGCCGAATGCATTTTCAAGAGTTTGGTTTAGAAGGATTAGATTTGTTTGTACGAGTTTGACCACGGACCATTGAAAACCAGCTAGGATTACTGAACAGTTGTTTCATCATAGCTTGGAAATAATCGGCAGTACGCACCCACCAATGGGGTTTGGACCCAGGACCCTTTGATTACAAGGCAAGCTGGCTCCTATACCATTCAGCCACTGGAACACTATCCAAAGGCTAGACCATGAATTCTAACTTCTGACAATTCACGGCATAGTGCAACCACTTCGCAATTTCTTTTTCCATGAGTTACTGCCTCACCTTCAACCTGCTGTACCCTACTGGTCACGACTTCCCATAAGAACCCCAGGTAACCCCAGGCCTGAATACGGCCAGTTGCTAGTGAGCATCAGACGAATTTTTAAGTATTACTTTTGGTAGGGATCTTTTAGTTTGATTGGTTGGAGGATTTGATCATGAGCTGACATCAGTTAGGGAACCATTGGGAAACCTGCTGGGAGTATTGGACAGCGGTTTCGTTTAATTATTCTGTGAGTATTGAACTCTTTCTTTCACTGTATTGTCATCTCTACGCATTTTATTATTTCATTTTCTTCTAAGTCTCCTGACAAACTTTTGAGTCATTTCTGAAGGACATTAATTAACGTTTACTTTCTGCACATTAATTCTTTGATACATTATGACTTCCAACTTGGTTTCAATGTATGATCATGCTAAAGTGATGTTATCAGATTCTTCTTAAAACAAAAACACCAAACTTTATGTTTTGATGTCTTTATTAGACTTTGCGATGAAATACTGTTTCATTGTTTTCAGTGGTACTCTAGCGTCGATAGTTCAGTGGTAGAACACTCTTCAACCACGTAAGTGCTCCAGAGTTCGATCCTCGGCCAACGTACTCCTTTACCTCGCTTGGTCGGTAGTAAGTCTGGTATAGAGGAAAGGTTAGACATGAGGCTAGCAACCCCAGCCTGTGAAAATTCGCCACTACTACTGAAAATTCACAGCTCTAGCTGGAAGCCCTATGTTCCACTGGGAATGCTAAGGAATAAAACAAATTTTCTTTAAAAATAAGTGGTACCACTATTTTAGTAGTTCTCCCCATCCTTCACCATGCTTGTCAAATAGGGTCGTTGAAAGTAAATATAAGATAAGTGTTGGTTTGTAGGGATTTGATTGGTTACAGGATTTCATCATGACGTAACATCAGTTAGAGAACCATTGGAAAACCTGCAGGGAGTACTGAACAGCTGTTTCGTCATAGTTTCGAACTAACTCATCATCACTACGCACCCTACGCTAGGGTTCGAACCCAGAACCTTCTGGTTACAAGGCTAGCGAGCTCATAGACCACTAAACCACTGAGACCCAGTCCAATGACCAGCCCATGAGTTCTAACTTCTGCCGATTTACGATATAGCGCAACCACTAGCCAATATCTTCGGCGAGAATTTATCCTCACACCCGACCTGCTGCACCCTACTGGTCACGACTTCTCACTAGAACCCAGGTAACTACCTATCTGAATAGGGCAAGTTAGGTTCTAACAAGTGTTAGGTAAGGACAGAAAGTTACTCGGTATGATTATGGAGATCCATCAATTCAGGTGCCTAGGACACATGTGACGCATTTCATATTATTGCTTTCATCGAGAAGAAATGTTAGCTGATATAAGATTCGTTCACTTCACAATATGCAAATTAATTCTCAACTTACACCATTTGAGGTAATTATTTCACTACAGTTGCCTCTGGAAACCGTAATGATTCGGATCCCAATGTGTGTGATCTGCTTGACACCATAAATGGTGGACAAGAAACTAAGCATAAATGCGTCGGTGGCACAGTGGTTAGGACTCTCGCCGACCATGCACATGGTCCGTGGTTCGAGCCCACGCCGACGCACGCCTGATATCTATGGTCGGACTGCGAAATTTGGGCTACCGATATCCACGCTGAAAATTCCACACTCGCACCAAAAATATGGTGTGAAGTTAATCTGTAATCAATATATATATATATATATATATAAGTAGTCGGATACCAATTGCTAGTGAGATCGCAGTGAACTGAACACAATGGATGACTGTTTCGCTCATTTTGAGCGCAAATCAGAAAGCTGCTTAAATTGAAGAAGAGTTAGGGGGTGGCAGACCAAAAGATGACACCATTACATAAAATCTCTGACTATTGGTTTGACTCCCATAGGAGGGTGGGGTCCTCAAAGGTTGTAGATTATGCGTAAAATGGATGAAAATCGTTCATATTTTTCGCAGACGTATTCATCCATTAAATCTTCATTATTCTTCCTCTTATACATGTTTTTGTAGTGCAATTTCGAAGTGTGCCTCTTTGAACTGATTCAATTTGTTCTCCTCTAAAGAATAAGTTTAGTCTAGTCTACTTTTACATTTTATTCTATTCTCATTTTTACTTTTTATTTGCTTTTTTTTTTAATTTTCTCTTTTGATACAGTTGATGAGTGAATATCAGGAATCAGAGGGTAATTTAGGCGTTGTCCTATTTCATGATGCATTGGAACACTTGACTGCAGTACATCGGATCTTACGTTTAGATGGTGGACATGCCCTATTAATTGGTATATCAGGTTCAGGTAAAAAGTGTCTAGCTAGACTAGCTGCATACATTGCTAAAATTAAATCATTTGAAATTATCTTAAGACGTGGTTATCATGAAGGCGAATTTCGTGAAGATTTGAAAAAGTTGTATACAGCTATGTCAACAACTAAAGAGGATTACATGTTTCTTGTTTCGGAAGAACATATTCGTGAAGAAGGTAAGAGGTTTTTGAATATTACTTTCCTTATCTGTTTTTCTTTATTTTTCTTGGCTTAATTAAGTATAAAATGTGGTAGAAATATGGATATTTATAAACAATATTGAGGAAACTATAAGAAGACGACACAATTTATTTAAATTGTGTAATGTATTTGCACGGATAAACCATCCAATTCACCGATATAAGAATAAAACTTATGTACTGTGGTAAAGTGTGTAATTCCATTATGGATAAATTTTGTTTTGATAAAGTCTCACAGTGTGTTATACAGTAATGTTTACTGATGACGTTTCGAACACAATTTATTACTGCTCATAATCACATCAAGGTAATCACACGACTTCCTAAATTCATTTATATAGTTCCATTGTTTTTAACTTGATTTTCACTTGATTTCATTGGTAGTAGTATTTTCCATATTTCAGGTATGAGTGATGAGTCATTCCTATTGCATGTGTTGGGTGTAGACTCGATGAACAAGGATTCAGTAATCAACCTCTCTCTCCACCTACATAGATTACTTTTTAGAATTTTAACCCTCTCCCACCCACCCTATTGTGTGGTTATGTGTTAATGCATGCACTGCAATTGCTGAGCTTTTTTCTAAATTACTTATCTTCTCGGGGTCAACCATTCTTACCTTAGCTAGATTCTTATGTCCCGACAATCTAACTACTCCCCTATGTAGTTGACCTAAATTACAGTCATTGCATGGTATTTTGCAAATTACATTATATTGTCTAACTGAGTCAACGACAGGCTCCCTTAACCTACACAGCTTGTCCTACGTGAGTGAGTTTGTAGGTTTAAATGCCACCCTAATTCCTATTTTATTCAGAATCCTACGTAGTGTCTCAGATGTCCCCTCTTTATATGGTATAACTGTGGATGACTTATATTCTCTCTTATTTATGTTATTATTACTAGTTTCACAATTATTTTTATTTTGCTTTTGGCCTTTAATGATATTCCTAATGAATTTTATAGGATAGTTATTCAACACCAACGCTTCTTGTATCTGTTTTAATTCATCATTTGCGTCTTTTTTGTGTTACTTAGTGCCACTGCTCGGTTTGTTAAACACTTAACTAAGCCTGCCTTAACAGTTAAAGGATGAGACGAATTAAAGTCTAAATATCTGTTAGAATGCGTTGGTTTTCTATAAACACTAGTGTGTAGTTTGCCTTCTTCTATTCGTTTTATTTTACAATCTAACATGATAGCTAATTCTCTTTGTTCATTTTCTGATTCAAATGTGAACATTACTGTATAACACTGTGAGACATCCAATTCACCGACTAAACCGACCGATATTTAGAAGAATCTGATCACAGAAATTACTGAGCTCAGAAATGAACGACAGGTTGAGAAAGTCAATCCAAAGAAATTTCTTCATATTACTATTTGTAATCCCTCACCTGAAAGACAAAGTACCTTGGTTAGCTACCTCTTCTTATGTCTTTCAATTCAACTGATCCTGTTAAATTGGCTGTTGACTTAGGAACTTGATATCTCGTGCTCGGCAACGCCTATCACTCTGACTAAATAAAGATGTAGTAAGAATCGTTGACAGTTCAGTACTAGATACAAACAGGTCAACACTGAAGAATCTTTTTCTATTATACATTAAGTACCGAGTAAATTATCAAAGATTCGTAGATACCCAATACTCCAAGAAGCAGAGGTCATTGCAATCCGCTTAAAACAACTGAAGAACCGTATGCCAGAGAATAGGTTTCAACCACTATTTCTGCCATGGCCTTCTGTTTTTTTTCGTGTGTGTGTTTTTTATTCCTTTACGTTTCCCCAGTGGAACATAGGGCTTCCAGCTAGGAACCTGAAGTCTCGGTAGCAATGGTAGTCACTTTTACGGACGGGGTTGCTAGCCTCATTCGCTAGCCTCCTCCCTCTTTACCGATCTTATCACTGGCTTAGCGAAGCAGAGGAATGCATCGGACGGAGAAGCAATCCCGAACCACATGATCCGTGGTTGGCGAGCCTTCTACCTCTGTGCCACCGACGTACATCCATGGCCTTCTGTAGAACCTATAAGTTCATAAACTCTACATTACTTTTGACAATTTATCTGATAATCAGTTTAGCGTTATATTTATACATCTTATTGCATACACATGCCGTGAATTATATTTAATGAGTTTAATGATTCGAAATTATTTAAAAATGTATTGTGTTTTCGTTAACATTCATCCTTTTAAGGACGTATAAATGTTGAACCTGGTGAAGAAGTTATCGAAAAGAATGCTCTTTGCTTAGTAATCAATCTTCTGAGATTTACAATGGGCCTCTTTAATCAAATAATGAAACACAAAGGGCTAAGACAATGAATATGGTTCATATTGAAGTTATTTTAGATGGCAATGACTAGAAGTGAATATTTCATCCTATTTAGAACTCTTCATCTGGGCGTACTTCTATTCCCTGGGAGTGATGATGTCACCACTCAAACTTGGACTCTGCGCCTATTGTTTCAAACTCTAAAATATTATTCACTCAGCCACATGGGTTACGAGAAGATGCACCAAACTGACGAGTCCCTAATCGGATGAAATGCGCATCCTGTTAGTTATCATCAACTAAAATAACTTGATGTTAATCCCCTGGACGTCGTTAGAGCTGCATACCAACATAGACCAAATATTTTGGTTCAACATGAACAGTCAGCGGAGAATGCAACACTTGTAACCAGTAAAATCCTCTCAAACTAACGCTTAATAAGTGAAAAACTATCAAGTATAGGTTTGCAAGGATTTGATTAGTTACAGGTTTCTCATTTCCCGTTGATTAATTATGTTGGACCCAGGATCTCCTGGATACAGGGTGAGTTCTTGGACCATTCAGCCACTGGTATTTGATTCAATAGTCCACGAATTCCAACTTTTCCTGATTCGTAATACATATATAGTTCAACCACCAGCTAATATCTTAGGGGAGTAACTGCTCTAATGAGAAGTCACAACCAGAGACGTCCACTAAGTCATGTAAGAGGCCAGTTGGAGTACAAAAAATAACAATAAATATCAACAAAATTGAATTAAAGAGAGGGATTGTAGACGATTCGTTTCGGTTTCAAAATAAAATTCATCAAGGATTATTAAGTAAAATAGACACATTATTTATGAACATCACAAAAAAGTGGTTTTAACTTAACTTAATCGCTAAAGCTTCCACAAATTTTAGGATTCACCACCCAACAGATAGAGAGGTTTAAAATATGTCATTTTTAGGGCGTGATGCAGCGATGTTCCTTGATTGTGGAGCCCACTAATCGTTTCCAATCTCTCAGTCTGTCTTTGAAGTCATTGGGTATATGCGCTGTAGCCATTAATTGTAAAAAAAATCGATGAACTATTCTTATGCATTTAGTTATTATGATCTCGAGGATATCTTTTCAATTTTATCTACCATCTATATTTTATCTATCCTATTTGTTGGTTTATTTTCCTTATAATCTGTCACATCACTGAATACTCTCACCCTTGAAATCTGTACATTAGTTGACTCAAATAATACATAGAAAATCAAAACAAGTAATTCAGAGAAGAGACTCTTTTCAACGAATTTATTATCAAGCTGTACAGTCGTATATATATATATATATATATATATATATATATATATATATATGGCTTTTTTAAGAAGTTATGTCCGGTAAGGGAATTGAATCTTAAGTGTGAATGCATAAAATGGACATGGGTTGGCCATACGCTGAGGAAACCATCAAGTGACATCACTAGACAAGCCACTGCTCGAGTGGAACCCGAAAGGGAGGCGGCGAGTTGGTCGTCCAAGGGTGACTTGGAGGAGGTCATGCGAGGAGGAGATGAAAGCATGTGGACAGACCTGGAGCAGGGTGAAAAAGTTGTCAAAAAGCCGAAGGCAATGGAGGTGCGCAGCTGAAGCCCTATGTTCCTCCAGGAACTAAAGGATACAATAATAATAATAAACAATAATATGAAGTGCAATTAAAAACTAAAATGTATGTGATTATAATCATAGTTAAATGTTAAGTGGCAAAGCAAATTAATGTCATATATAGAGTAGGGTGTGAATGCATAAAATAATAATTATAGTAGTATGAAATGCAATTAAAAAACTACGAATGTTCCACTGACTGAGACCATATGTCTTATATGCAAATATATTGAAGACAACAAATTGAATATAAGGATACCCACTACAGATCTGAAAGAACTACTTTTGAGATGTACATTGAATGTACAGTTTACTTTCAATGAAACAATCTACAGACAGAAGGATGGTATTGCGGTGGGTTCTCCTTTGGGTCTCTCCTTGCAGACTGTTTTGTGTCCAGTCTAGAAAATAGTCTCCTGAAGCCTATAATCCAAAGCTTTCAAATGTATAAAAGGTATGTAGATGACACCTTTATTATTTGTAATAGTGATTGTAACCTGAATAATATATTAAATGTATTTAATGATTGCCATCCTGTGATAAAATTCACACTCGAAATGGAGAACGAGTCTAGCATTCATTTCCTCGATGTGAACTTATCAAGAAGGACCAATGGAACTCTGAAGAGATCGATTTATCGTAAGCTGTTATGGAATGGTCAACTGACAAATTTCTACAACTGGGTACCGATTGGTCGAAAACGAAACCTGGTCCGGTCGCTTGCCACTCGTATTCGACGCATATGTAGCACTGATACTATGGAAGATGAGTTATACACTAGACCACTTGGGCCACGAGAGCCACCTGTTGTGCAACGGGTCATATTAATTATTGAATTGAATTTTTGTTTTTCCCGTCGATTGATTGGACCGAAGTGCTCGGTCTCAGGTTGACATGTCGGCTCCTTGTGCAGATGCTTCGACGATGTCCGGGCATTTAGTTAGTTTACAATTGGTAGATGGTGGCTAGCAGTGGAATCCAGGATGCGCATTTCGTCCTATTTGGGACTCGTCAGCTGGATGTACCTGCATTTCTCAGTGAGTGATGATGTTCCCACCGAGGCTCGAACCCAGTACCCATAGTTTCAAACGCCAAAGCGTTATCCACTAGACCACTTGGGCCACGAGAGCCACCTGTTGTGCAACGGGTCATATTAATTATTGAATTGAATTTTTGTTTTTCCCGTCGATTGATTGGACCGAAGTGCTCGGTCTCAGGTTGACATGTCGGCTCCTTGTGCAGATGCTTCGACGATGTCCGGGCATTTAGTTAGTTTACAATTGGTAGATGGTGGCTAGCAGTGGAATCCAGGATGCGCATTTCGTCCTATTTGGGACTCGTCAGCTGGATGTACCTGCATTTCTCAGTGAGTGATGATGTTCCCACCGAGGCTCGAACCCAGTACCCATAGTTTCAAACGCCAAAGCGTTATCCACTAGACCACTTGGGCCACGAGAGCCACCTGTTGTGCAACGGGTCATATTAATTATTGAATTGAATTTTTGTTTTTCCCGTCGATTGATTGGACCGAAGTGCTCGGTCTCAGGTTGACATGTCGGCTCCTTGTGCAGATGCTTCGACGATGTCCGGGCATTTAGTTAGTTTACAATTGGTAGATGGTGACTAGCAGTGGAATCCAGGATGCGCATTTCGTCCTATTTGGGACTCGTCATCTGGATGTACCTGCATTTCTCAGTGAGTGATGATGTTCCCACCAAGGCTCGAACCCAGTATCCATAAATTCTAACGCCAAAGCGTTATCCACTAGACCACTTTGGCCACGAGAGCCACCTCTTGTGCAACGGGTCATATTATTATTGAATTGAATTTTTGATTTTCCCGTCGATTGATGCGCATCCTGGATTCCACTGCAAGTCATCATCCACCAATTAAATACTAACTAAATGCCCAGACATCGTCGAAGCATCTGCACAAGAAGCCGACATGTCAACCTAAGACCGAGCACTTCGGTTCAATCAATCGACGGGAAAATCAAAAATTCAATTCAATAAATAATTAATAGTGATTGTTATTATTCCACCTTTTACTTATTCCACAATATACTTTCTGATATGATTCTAATTTACTCTTATTGACGGATTAAATAATTCCCCCCTCATCTGTGATTGGCTGATCGTTTTTCTCTTGACAGTATTGTTGTTGTGTCGATTGGATGTGATACGAAAAACTTGATGTTTTCTATCACCATGTCTCTCTCTATTTTCTACCTCCCACTCTCTCCCTCTGTGCGTCACTGCCAAACATAACCACATATTATTTGGTTTAAAATGTCAAGTAGATCAAGTGGAAAAGATTCAGAATGAGAGTCGTAATAATAATAATAATCGAAGTAATAAGGGAAAAGTACATAGAATAATAAAATAAATAAATGTCTATCCCTCTACGACCAAGGCAGCAGTAGGGATATATTACGGCTAGTGAAGACACGATAAGCCACAGTATTTAAAAATAACTTACCAGGTCAACCGGTAATTGGGTGTATCACTAACACGGCATATCCCATTAAGCAATTGCCATGATAATAATAATAAAAATTTACGCACAGATTCGAAGGGGGCTAGTAATTCTTTCTTTCTGCGTGTCTATTATTCGGTTGAAGGAGGTGAAAATCATGGTCTACTCTCAGTTCTAAGTGTAATATCATGATGCAATTAATAAGGTAGTTATGCTAAAACTAAACCCCACTGAAGTGTCTCAACAGCTCTCATTACGTAATAGTAATAAAATGGAATGCTTACATAAGTTGAAGCGACATTTAGGAAATTCCTAGTATTTATTTTGATAAGGTCTCACAGTGTTGTTATACAATAATATTCACTGCTCATAGTCTTCATATCAAGGCACTACTCACTCAACTTTCTGACTTAGTTCATATAATTTCATTATTTTCCATCGCTTGACTTGATTGGTAGTAGTATTTTCCATATTTCCGGAATGAGTGATGACGAAATCAAACAGATAGAAGAAGCATTGATATCAAATAACCATCCTATAAAATTCATTAGGAAGATCAGAAATGGTTAAAAGCAAAATAAAAATAATTGTGAAACTAGTAATGATACCATAAATATCAGAGAATGTAGGGCATCTACAGTTTTACCATTTAAGCAGGGGATTCTTAATAAAGCAGGAATTAGAGTAGCATTCAAACCTACAAATTCACTCAGGGACAAGCTCTGTGGGTTAAAGGAGCCTGTCGGTTAACCCAAAAATACCTTTCAATCTCTGTGAAGTAATTCAACTACATAGGTCAGACTTGTAGATCAGGGGTAGTCAGACTGTCAGAACATAAGAATTTAGCTAAGGTTAGAATGACTGATCCTATGAAGATGAGTAATTTAGAAAAAAGCTTAGCAACTGCACTGCATGGATCAACACACAACCACACAATAGGGTGGGACAGAGTCAAGATTCTAAGAAGTAATATAGGTAGCTGGATATATATATATACATACTTCTAAATCCTACTTCATCAAGTCTACACCGAACACATGCAATAGGAGTGACTCATCACTCATACCAGAAATATGAAAAATATTACAACCAGTCAAATCAAGCGATGCAAAATAATGATGGAATTATATGAACGAAGTTTGAGAGTTGTGTGAGTAGTGGCTTGATATGATGACTATGAGCAGGGTAATTAATTGTGGTCGAAAGGTGGTCATCAGCAAATATTACTGCATAATAGCACTGTGAGACTTTATCAAAATAAATTTTACCCATCATGCAATTATGCTCTAGCACTGTGGACAAGTTCTATTCTTATATCAATTTATAGACTTTATTGAATGATATCACGGTTTGATCTGACATCATTAAAACATGATCAAATTCCCACCTAATTCGTTTGTCATTATTTAGAGGAGATAATTTGTCATACATACAACTTATCATGATTCAGTCATATGACACATTTTTCCTCTACTTAGAATTAAAAAGTTCAAGGTTGCATAATATCTAAGCCATGTTGTGAAGGCAAATATAATCACATATGTATATTTCTGCATTTTATAGTGTACAATTTACTCAGAACTTTACTGTCAAAGTCTCGCTAACTGGTAATGGTGTCTACTTCAAAAATATTTCCTGTGCTGAACATTAAATCAATGAATTACTTTAATTTCTAGCTTCGTAGCTTTTATGACCATAAGATTGTTTCTATACATTTATTCCCCCTTTATGAATTTGAATAAAGCAAGAACAACAGCGTGGTTTGTGCAGAATACGAGAGTACCATCATTAATTTCTTGAGTCCTCATCAGCTGCTTACAGCCTAAAGATATTGTTAAGTTAATGTACAGAAATAATTTTAAGATACTTGGAATTTTCACATGATATTAGCTCCCAGAGATTTCGAGTTAAAAAAATAATCAGTGTATGCATACAATTTCAAAGGATTTACATATTTAAGTCAAATATTACGTTACCAGTTACCAGGGGAAGAAAGACTGGCAACTACTTCTTTCTGAGCACATAAACTGGGATTCAAGAGTTTAAAAGGAATTGCTTCGACAAACCTGAGGACAATTGAACCCTTTTGTGTATTGATAATTTTAAAGGATTTTGCGAAGTCCACTTTATGACCTGTATCTAAAAGATGCCTGTTGATGGTACTGTTGAAAGCATTTATTCCTTTGGACAAGAACTATTAAAATCTAAGTTTTTGTCGATATTATGTCTACTCTTGGTAAATTGATCTCTGGGGACTAAACTCTTCGAGGCGTTGCATTGCAATGTCAAGGAAATGAAACTTTTCATCATTTTCATGTCCCATAGTATGTGTGCCGTTGAATGATCCAAGTACGTAGGAACCATGACTTTCATTGTTGCACACGAAAAATGTGTCATCTACATTCAACAATAAGAAGTTGTTTCGTCGATTGCATGCTTCAGCTTTGTCCTCTAAAGGTCGATCAAGAAGAAATCTTCTAAAACAGGTCTAAGTGGGCAATCCATAACTACACTATCTGTTTGTCAGTAAAGACGATTGTCAGACTGGAATTGTACATTTACGGTACACATTAGCAGTAGGTGTTTGAATTCCGACTTTGAGAGTGGGAGAAGATCAAAATACTGTCAAATAATCACGATGGTTTTATTGATAGGATCCTTGTGAACAAGGAGGTTGCATCAAATGACGCCATGAACTTATTTGAAACGCTTATGCGGTGCAAGCTTCTAGCGAAATGATATAAATCTTTCATGGTGTGCACAGCTAGGCATTGATGAATGGGTTTCAACTTGTCTGCAAGGCAACGAGCAACTTTGTGCTGAGCTGAGTATAGGTGCAGGTCTCAGTTATACTTCAGAAGATGAGATGAGACAAAAGTTAATTTGGCTTGTGGTATACACCTAGATGTACCGGGGTACCGGATACTCATTTCGTCTTAGTTTAGGACACTTCAGCAGCGCTCATTTATAATCCTACCGGGAGAAGAGCCCAGAACCTTCAGGTGACAAAGCCAGTCCACTGACTATCCAGCCATTGGATGAAATCCTATGATTCATAAATCCTAATTTCAGCCAGTTAGCGATACACATCCCTCACAGCAAGTCAATTTTATTCGCTAATATTTGTCCTGAAGAGTAGCAAAATAGGACGAAAGAGCTGTTCAATGCTTTCTGGTTTTCAGCAGCTGTCTAACTGATGTCGATTCTTGATGTGACTTGAGATCAATAAAACATTTTAAAAATATAACTGACTTTTCCTAATGAATTGTAATGTTCTTCTTTTTCTTAATAAAAACGATTTTAGCATTTTTGGAATTGATTAACACAATGCTGACTACAGGATTTATAAATGCATTATTCTCTGACGACGAAAAAGATACTATTCAACAAACAATTTGGGCAGAAACTGAAGCTAAAATACGTTCAGATGCTCTAGCATCTGGTACAAATATCACTGTGACAAAAGAAGTTGTCTGGAGATATTTTCGTGCAGATTGTGCTGCACGTCTACACATTGTCCTATGCATGAATCCAGAGGGTGATACTTTAAGAAAACGATGTCGAAGTTTTCCTGGTATGGTGAAATGTACAACAATTGATTGGTATTTTCCATGGCCAAAACAAGCACTTTATGCTGTAGCTTGTTCATTAATTGATCCAAAGGTAAGTAAGTGCTAAAAGACTGATCACTATCTGAATTCACTTAGAGAATCACTGAACAACTGGTTTGACTGAACAGCTGTTTCGTACTAGTTTTAGACTCTTCATCAGCCTTAAAGTACGACCCTATCGCGGAACGGGCCCAGTGTAATAACAGAAGACAAGGGCCAGGCAACAGATCCTTTTATTATGAAAATCAACACGTATTTATACATATTTCACATACATTATTATAGACAAGCGCAGTCATCTGATTGGTTGTTTATCAGAAGTTAGGCAGACAAACGCAGGCTTCTGATTGGTTGTTTCGGGATTCCTTGACAAATAGAGTTCTCTATCTGCGAATCATATTTTGCCACGTTAACTTTGCTGTGATTGGTTGTTGACTCAGCCTTGTTCATATTTTCTCATGGCCCATATTAACGTAGCTTAGTGTCAACCAATCGGCTAGCAGCCTGCTCTCACCACACCAGAACCTCCAGGCAGTGAGGGAGCCCACTGACCATTCAGCTGCTGGAACAGAATCTACTGGCCTATAAATTCCAACTTCTACAAATATTTCATATATTGTGTGACAAATACCCAGTGTCCTTGATGAGTACCCGTCGTCACACCCAACATGGTGTGTGATCATGACTTCTCACTAGAAATCCATGCATCTTCATCCTGTAATCAGTCATTAGTGAACACTGAATAATTTTTCAAGTATTGGTTTGAATGAATTCGGCTGATTTCATGTTTGATCACGAAATGACTTTGGCTGGAGAATCCTCGTAACCTGAAGGTCTTGAATTCGACCCTCGCTGGGGGCGTGGTTGCAAACGGATGAAAAGTCTCAAGCTAGGGCGAAACGTGTGTCCAGTTATCCTCATACGATCGCTATATTTAGGAGCTTTTATCGATAGTTATTCATAGGTTGTGTTGCGGTGTTTGCTTCCAGTTTAAAAACTATTGTTAGGGGTCGTGATGAAACTCTAGCTGACTCCTCACAAAGTCGTAGATTACAGATTTTATGAAGGCAATACACTACTAACTAATTGAAAATTTAGTGCATGAATAATTATGATTTCTCAAATCAATCTGCATGATTCAAACAGTAAACTGCTGTTTGATTAGACCACATTAAAGAATCGAACAGAATAATAGTAGCTTCAGCAAAGTTTATTGCTTGGCATTTTCTCTTCATCCAGGATCTTCAAATAAAGTATCAGTTGACAGTAGACGGTGTGATATAATGTTGTCTAACCTGAAGAGAATAATAATAATCCAATCTTATATCAACAAATACTACTTCTCGAGGAAGGCAATCTTCAAACATGCATAACACATTTCTCACCCATCTCATTTGATAAAACCTCACAATCTCATCTGGAGATATATCTTCCTCACCTAACACTACACCTAACCTCAATATTACTCACTATATTTAACCAAATGACACCGAAGGTGGTGAGCGAGCCACTGTGGTGAGATACAACTAGTCTCTTCAGATTTTCCACTTCCAGTTAACATGTCTCATAGTCATAAAGAAGAACGGAGAAACCTACTGCGCAGTACACACGTCCTTTGATCAATACTATTGCCTCATTTAGCCATCGGAGTCAATAGGGGTTTACGGTTTCACTGACTGATTTCCCTCATTACCTAGCACTATGCGCCTACCTTCATTATTACTGATTATATTACACCACCTAGGAGATGCTTACATCATTTCATTCTCAGTAAAGAATTATCTCCATACGATACTAAAAAGCATCCATAACCTGAATGACTGATTTCAACATAAAACTTTGCACCGATGTGCAGCAGTTCAAGTCGCCACACTCTCTCCAATTAACACACAATACACGAAAAGAAAGTAGAAGGAATGCAAAATAGAGACAGTAAACAGAGATATGGGGCAAAAGGAATAGTAATATCGAAGAACAGTATAGTTTTGTTGGGCACTGTAAGTCACAACGAGTGAATGCATCTGCGCCATCCGTTGGGGTTTACCATCCTGAGTACCCCAACCAGGAAGTCTACACTTCCGTACATTGAGGATTCCATTAAGTGGTGCCATGTTTTGGTTTGACCACCAGTGGTTCTTTTGCAGCCTGACCCTATGTCAGCTAACATCACCGAAGACGATGACTAGGAATACGTAACACATGTCCGAACCATCTCTCTCAATCGATATAACTTCACAGCCCCGTCGACTGATTTCCCTTCCTTACCTAGCACACAACCGAAGCCTAATCTCAATATTGCTTATCCTACTATATCACTTCACACGGGAGACAGAACGCATGCACCTATGATCAGAGACAACTAGCCTTCTGTTTCATGTTTTCCACTCTCAATCTCCAGGTTTCACAGCTGGTCATAATGGATGACGGAGCGGACGGCTGAGCAGTATACACGCCCTTTAGTCGATAGTTGGATATCAAGTCTACACCAGAGACTGCCTAAACTGGCAGGCATATACGAAACGAGCCTTCTACATCCGTGCTGAGATTTCCTCAGCGATCAACCCACTGGGACTGGCTGATGCAAATTACCAAATAAGTGAAGTGGTCAACACGCCCCATCAACCACTTCACTCCTCAATTCTAAACTAGGAGTCAATGTAGTCCAGTCCTGTAGCATCATCTTACATTTGGCGGGAGTGAATCGGATGCCAAACATAAGCAGATTACAGCTCACGGCGTTCAGAAGACCGTGCATTTTGTCGGCATCTTCACCTAGCATCTATAAGCTAACTGTTTTAAATTCTCGCCAGAGCAAAGAATATTATCAAAGGTCATATTTTAATAGATTAAAACTTAATAATAATATTCTATTATATGCAATATAATGAGAGGTTTTGGTAGCTGCAACCTTAAGCAGGCCACAAGGGCATTATACAAGTTCAGTAGAGCTGTAAGGTGAGTATCTTTAGCCTAATGATACTACCTACAATCTTGTGTAATGAGGAGGTATCGCAAACCAAAGTCTTAAGACAGTTAGATGGTCTGCTGGCATGGTGTCCTTCATACAGCAGCATGACCTCACTCTAGGTATATTCATCAAATTTTACATGTTTGGGTGGCATACCAGTTTGGGTGGCATGCCATGTTTGGGCGTCAGTGGCATATCAGTTAGGACGCTCGCCGACCATGCACATAGTCCGGGGTTTGATCCCGGCCACAGACGTACTCCTTTACCTCGCTAAGCCAGGAATAATGCTAGTAAAGAGGAAAGGTCGGGCATGAGGCTAGCAACCCCATACTGTAAAATAAACACTGCTACAGAAACTTTAAGCCACTAGCTTGAAGCCCTATGTTCCACTGGGAAACATGAAGGAAAAAAACATGGTTAGGGGCAATCAACAGGAGGCCCTAGACCTAATTTTTATGCACCTAAGAGCTGATATCCCTTCAACGATTCAAACCTACATCACCCAACGCTGCAGCAGCCACAGATTTTACCACTGGATTTTTCGAGCTCACATTCAACTTCCTGTACCTTAGTAAATTTTGACTTAACGAGCTTAACTTTATTTATTTATTTGTGAGTAGAGAGCACAGAGAATTTGACGCAGAAAAATACTGGACTTCCTAATGATTTCTTCCAGTCACTTAATATCGTTTAGAAGTGCACTGTAATGACAAGTTATTTACGTTGACAACCACGTTTTCGGGAACTTGACTAGTAGAATTCTGTCATTACTGACACAAAGAACTAGAAACATAACACTGATTGTACCCTAGTGACGTGTGTATATAATTTTAGTCACACCATTTTCATTATCACTTGCAGAACAATTTGAGTGTGACTTCTTTCTTATACCTTGACATTATAAGCTAGTTGTGCATCGATGTTCCAGTGGCATAGCGCCCACCAACCACACACATGGCCCGAGATGCAATCCTCAGCCGACGCATTGCTAAACCTCGCTAAGCCGGTAGTAAGTCCGGTGAAGAGGGAAGGTTGGGCATGAGGCTAGTAACCCCACCCAGTAAAAATCGACACCACCGTTACCGAAACTTCAAAAGCTCCAGCTTGAAGCCCTATGTTCCACTGGGGGAACATAAAGGAACAAAAAATAATAATTATACAAACTATTTGGATTAGTTGGTTATAATAATACCATCAAATCAATGTGCACCTTGATGGCAACCTAGCTAGAATGGTGGTCACATTACAACCTGACTGATAGAATTCAACGTCTACACCAATCAGAGGACTAGACGCAACACACTAGTTACTAGTGTCAGATCAAAATATCCACTACAGTCCTACAGGAGGTCAATCGCGAGCTCGAATAGCTCAATGGTAACGTCTCTGACTGCAGCTGTCACTGGGTGACGCGGGTTCGAATCTCAGAAGGGACATGAGTTTCTTCAAGGTAGCAGATACGTCTTGCTGACTAGTACCAACTAGCACGAAACCTAGGTCCAAGGCTTCCTGCCGATTGCCTCCAACCATCTAATTATTATTTTTTTCTCTAGAAATTCCTGTACTTTCATGTATATTTTTACACTTACTACTTAATTTTAGTGTCCGCTAATTCCATCAATGTATTGGGAAGCTGTTATAACAAATGTAGTCAATGTACATACAAGTGTACAACATGCTTCAATAGAATTTCAACGCCAGTTAAAACGAGTAAATTATGCAACAGCAACAAACTATATTCTATTTATTAATGGATTTTTAAAACTATTAGATACAAAAATAAAGTAAGCGAATCACCAACTTGATTTCTTTACAAGTGTTGGTTTTGTAGAGATTTGGTTTGATTGTATGGAGGATTTAATCATGAGCTGATATCAGTTAGAGAACCACTGGAAAACCAACAGGGAGTACTGGACAGCTGCTTCATCCTAGTTTGGGACTCCTCAGCAGTACGCACCCACCGGGGTTCGAACCCAGGACCTTCTGGTTAAGAGACGAGCTCGTAGACCTGGGGTTCTAGTGGGAAGCCGTGACCAGTAGGGTACAGCAGGTCGAAGATGAGGCAGTAACTCATCGAAGAAGACATTGCGAAGTGGTCACGCTATGTCGTGAATTGGCAGAAGTTAGAATTCAAGGACCATTGGATCGGGTCCCAGTGGCTCAATGGTCTACGAGCTAGCTCGCCTTGTAACCAGAAGGTCCTGGCTTCGAACCCTGGCCGGTGGGTGCGTACTGCTGAAGAGTCCCAAACTAGGACGAAACAGCTGTCCAGTACTCCCAGGTTTTCCAGTGGTTCTCTAACTGATGTCAGCTCATGATTAAATCCTCCATACAACTTGATTTCTGTTTTTTTTGTCTTTTAAAAAATAAGCTTGATCACGAGACAATATCAAGTAGAGTATATTTTCATCATCTTATTTAGGTCGATTTCTGTTTTCCCGCTTCATTAATTGAACCAAAATGATCTATTCCTATCGACATGCCAGATTTGGTATTTGAAACGAAGGCTACTAGAATTGCATATCAGATGGAGTGGGTGGGTGGTGGGTTGCAGGAGGTTGTAGGTACTACATCCAAATGACGTATCCCCAATAGGAGGGAGGGAATACACACCCTAGATTTCACTGCTAGCCACCAAACACTAAATAACATTTACATATTTGTCTGTTACAGTTTCGTTGTATTTCATTTTGTTTACCTGTATGTGTTATCTAGCCTAAACTGATACATGTTTGTGCTTAGTCCTATGCCGATGATTAAAAAATGATCTCCAGATTACTGATTCAGAGACTGAACTGTTTCATCAGGATTCCCATCCCGTAGGTTTTCAGGAAGAATCAGAAAACAGTACTTTTTGTCTCCAGTCCTACCCAGTCCACATATTATAACACATTCCTTTTAGACATCATTCTGTGAGGCAAAGTCGACATCAAGTAAGTCTTCATAAAGTAAAAACCATGAATTGGAAGTGACATATACATATTTTCAAGTATTGGTTTTGTAAGTATTTTGTTTGATTACATGGAGGATGTCATCATGAGCTGACATTGGTTATAGAACCACTGGAAAATCAACAGGGAGTCCTGGACAGCTGTTTCACCCTGGTTTGGGATTGTTCAGAAGTACGCGTCCACCACCGGGATTCGAACTCAGCACCTTCTTGTTACAAGGCGAGCTAACTCGTAGACCATTGAGCCACTGGCCTTATTCAGACAGTTAATCTGGGGTTCTGGTGGGAAGCCATGAGTAGTAGGGTACAGCAGGTTGAAGATGAAGCAGTAACTCATGGAAGAAGACATTGCAAAATGGTCACGCTATGTCGTGAATTGGCACAAGTTAGAATTCAAGAACTATTGGATCGAGTCCCAGCGGCTCAATGGTCTACGAGCTAGCTCGCCTTGTAACCAGAAGGTCCTGAGTTCAAATCCCAGTGGTGGGTGCGTACTGATGAAGAGTCTCAAAGTAGGATGAAACAGCTGTCCAGTACTTCCTGTTGGTTTTCCAGTGGTTCTTTAACCAATGTCAGCTCATGATGATATCCTCCATGCAACATATATATGTATATATAATTATGATATCTGAGTTACTTAATCCCCGCTCTTTTTCAGAGAGAATATAGCCCAACAGAAGAGATTACATATTGGTTTAGAAAAATTACACGAAACTGGTATACAAATAGAACATTTAAATGCTAAACTTGCTGTACAAAAAGTTATTCTGGAAGAGAAAACACTCTCATGTGAAGCACTTATGGTAGAGATTAACGAGTCAACTATAATTGCTACAGAAAAAAAGAAACAAGCTGAAGAAAAATCTGTTGAATTGGCTGAACAAGCACAAATAATTAATGTTGAAAAGGTATAGTCAGAATAATAAAGACAACTTTTCACTTTCAAAAAACTTTTACAACAGTCAATAGTTCACTATTTTGTAGAGTGTTTACAACAATAATTCATGTCTTTATTTATCCGTTGTTGTTGTTGTTTTTTGAGCACTGAGCCAAATCATTGTAACTCTCGTTATTAGATACCTCTGTACTGTTTGCGATTTTGTCTTGATGTTGTTCCAAACACCAAAGTCTTACTACGAATACTGTCATTCAGTGAAATGCAAGCATATCCAGGTAAGTAATCTCGAATAAGAGAGAATGGAAGATCTGAATCCTATTGTTAGTCAAAAACAATTAAATATACATGTGTAAAGATGGTTACCGAGAGATGCAATTCTATCACTCATGGAAAATTTAAATCAGTTTGTGGTGAGAGCAGGCTGCTAGCCGATTGGTTGACACTAATCTACGTTAATGTCTAGGTCACTAATATGGGCCGTGAGAAAATATGAACAAGGCTGTTTCAACAACCAATCACGGCAAACTTAAACGTGGACAAATATGATTCGCAGATAGATGGCTCTACTTTCCGAGAAATATCGAAAACAACCAATCATAAGACTGTGTTTGTCTGCTTAACTTCCGTGAAACAACCAATCAGAAGACTGCCTTTTTCTGCTTGCATAAGCCTTATTAATGTACATAAAATATATATAAATACGTGTTGATTTTCGTAATAAAACCATCTGTTGCCAGCCCTTGGCTTCTGTTGTTACAAGTTCACTTTATGTTAAGAACTTCACTGAAGATATTGTCCAGAAAGACGACGAAAGCTTCACAACTAAACAAACCAGCTCAGAGAACACTACTAATTGAAAATAATTAGTCTCACAAATCAACAGGATTTAAATTCCAAGAGTCTTCGGTTCAATCCCTAGTGATTTCATAGATGTGCACTGATGAGGAGTCCCAAATTAGGACGAAATAGTTGTGCAGTGCTCCCTGACTTACAATAATTCTCTAACTGGTGTTAATTCACGATGGAATCTGCCAGTTAAATAACATCATTTAATTTTGTTTAACTCAGCTGAGGCAAAATTTGTTGTTGTTGTGACAGTATTTTATACGTCCTATAGCTTCCTACAGTCACATGTTATAATTTTTGACGCTGAAAGGTTTGACTACTTCTGCATTTCTTCTGATAGGTCCAGAGTGTCTATAATGTCTAGTAGTAGTGTAACAACAGAAGACAAGGGCCGGCAACAGATCCTTTTATTACGGAAATCAACACGTATTTATACATATATTTCACATACATTATTATGGCTTATTCAAGTAGACAAACGCAGTCTTCTGATTGGTTGTTTCTCAGAAGTTAAGCAGACAAACGCAGGCTTCTGATTGGTTGTTTCGGGTAACCATCGAAAAGTGGAGCCACCAATATGCGAATCATATTTGACCACGTTAAGTTTGCTGTGACTGGTTGTTGAATCAGCCTTGCTTATATTTTCTCACGGCCCATATTAGTGACCTAGACATTGGCGTAGATTAATGTCTACAAATTGGCTAGCAGCCTGCTCTCAACACAGTAGTAATTGACTAACCAGTTTTTATCCATGCTATTTATATTTCAATTCGACTTGTCAGTTCCTATATTCATTATCACTACATTCATGTCATTCATTCTTCAACTCGGAACCTGGCTGTACACGAAACCTCATCAGCGTTTATTATAAAGGTGGAAATGATGAGGTCACAAAGTTTTATATTCTTTGATTGGTTAGAAGATTTCACCGTGAGCTGGCATCACTTAGAGAACCAGTGAAAAACCTGGTGGTACTAGACGGCTGTTTCGTCCTAGTCTGCGACTCTTCATATGTGGGCACCCACCGGCGTTCGAACCCGGGACCTTCCTCATAAAAGTAATATTAACGCTACAAACAATGAGCATACGAAACTAGGCTAATAGCATCCCGCATACTTTTGGCTTATCTTGTATAACAAAATAACCCTGTCGTCATTATTTTTCATTTATTTTTTGTAATGATCTGACGAACTGACAGATACAACAAGTTTTAAAAGTCTGTCGAAGGTACTCTAATGATATGTATGAGTACTTGGAGACTGTGGTCTTCATAATCGACAAAACTCTGTGGTATTTCGCTCCCCATTTTCAGTGGATTATTTAGGATCTAGACTTTCTGCCTTATGAAACCATGTCTTTCTTTTATTTATCGGTTAAGACAAAATTATGCCCAAAGATGATGACCCTAAAGAGCATACATTCGAATTTCTCAAATTTATTCAATCATATGAGTCAAAACATAGACAAGACGGAGGTTATGAAAAAAACCAACCAACAACAACAACAGCAGCAACATCCAGCGCCAATCACCATCAATGGGAGGGATTTGAAAGAGGTTACTTCATTCAATTATCTAGGGAGCATTGTATCAACTACACCCAGTCGGAACGGACGACGATGTCAAATCGAGAATCGGGAAGGCGAGAAACACATTCATCAGCCTGAAATAACCAATCTGGAAATCTTCGTCACTCAGCCAGTATCAACAGCAAAATTCGGTCGGATTTTCAATACAAATGTCAAGTTAATTCTTATATACGAATGTGAAACATGGCGGGTCGCAAAGAATATTTCCAATAGCTTGTTGCAGACCTTCATCAACAACTAACTGTCTTCGCTCTATACTGAAGATCAATTAGATGGCCGGACCGGAAAGAATCACCAACCAAAAAATATGCAGGAGAAAGTGGAGATGGACTGGACACTGGCTTGCTGAGGAGGTCGCTAGGTGACATCGCGCGCGCATCAGACCATTGCTCGAGTGGAACCAGGCCGAAAGGGAAGCGGCGAGTGGGACGTGTCCAAGAGTGGGTGACGTGGAGTAGATCGTGTGAAGAGGAGTTGAAACAGTATGGAATAACATGGATGCAGGTGGAAAGTACAGCAGAAGGAAGACAGAAATGGCAAGTGGAGACGTGGAGTTGAAGCCCTATGTTCCATTAGCAACCCAAGGGAACAATAATAATAATAAGAAGAAGAAAATTGAGTACAGCTGTCACAGTGTTGAGTGATATTTTCACACTGAGTCAGACAACTTTATCTTTACGAAAAAATATTTATGTAATTATATATGTGGAATATTTATTGAATAATTTTATTGACTTTTCAAGGCTGAAGCTGAAGAAGTCTTAGCTGAAGCTCTACCAGCAGTTGAAGCAGCTCGTGCTGCCCTCGATGAACTGGAAAAAAATGATGTTACCGAAATTCGAGCATTTGCTACACCACCCAAACCTGTAAGTTTTCACTTTTTACCATTTGGCTTCAATTGATACTGTCTTTTTCCTTTTTAATCGAAAATGTTGAAAGTAATGGTGACGATTTCGTTAAGATTTTAGAATGGGGGATGTGAGGAATATGGCTGTATTCTGCTACAATATATTAGGATATTGATATGTTGGTTTGTAGGGATTTTTTGATTGGTTACAGGATTTCATCATGAGCTAACATTGGTTAGAGAACCACTGAAAAACCTGCAGGGAGTACTGGATAGCTGTTTCGTCCTAGTTTTGGACTCTTCACCAGCACGCACCCACCACCGGGGTTCGAACACAGGTCCTCCCGGTTATAAGCCCAACGAGCTGACTCATAGACCATTAAGCCACTGGGACCCCATTCATTGGCCAGCCCATGACTTTTAACTTGTGCGAATTCACGACATAACGCGACTGCTAGCCAATGTCTTCGGCGAGTATTTGTCCTCCCACCCGACCTGCTAGGCTCCTTGAGGACTCTTTTTAGCTTAAAGATGCTTTTTAGTGTCGTATGGAGGTAATTCTTTTCTCAGAGAAAATGATGTAAGCATCCTCTTAGGTGGTGTAATATGGTCAGTAATAATGAAGGTAAGCGCAAAGTGCTAGGTAATGAGGGGAAATCAGTCAGTGAGACCGTAAACCCCTATTGACTCCGATGACTAAATAAGGTAATAGTATTGATCGAAGGACGTTCATACTGAGCCACAGTTTTCTCTGTTCTTCTTTATTGCTGTGAGACATGTTCACTAGAAGTGGAAAATGTGAAGAGACTAGTTGTCTCTCACCACAGTGGTTCGTTCACCACCTTCGGTGACATTTGGTTGAATATAGTGAGTAATATTGAGGTTAAGCGTAGTGTTAGGTGAGGAAGATATATCTCTAGATGAGATTGTGAGGTTGTATTGACAGAGATGGGTGAGAAATGTGTTATGCATGTTTGAAGATTGCCTTCCTCTAGGAGTAGTATTAGCAGATATAAGGTTGGTTTATTATTACTATTATTCCTTTCGATTCTGAGTGGAACATAAGAAGAACATCTCCATTACAGTATCTTCTCCGCAGTCTTTTGTACCTGACTTCACAACTGCCCATAAGCTTTCATTCCCCCGTAGCATGGGTTTCTCCTTGAATAGATATCCACCTGGCGGATTCCTATTCGCGTTCCATTCGTGTGTGCAGTGTCACTCGATGGTCTCCTCAGAGTATGTTCAACCCATCTTTAAACCTTTCAGATCAGTCAAAAAAAAATGCTATTAGACAATGGAATCTTTGACTTCTGTTTAGAGCTACATACGCAGGTGTCGACTGTGTATGGCCGTTCTATGCTAAGAATCAATGGCTGAAGACCATGGATAATGTAACCTAAAGTTGCTCTCAATGGGTCAGATGCATTCATTCTTTGATAGTCTTCTAGATTCACTAAGTCCTTAGTACCCTTTGTGGAATTATTTCTTCTCCAGAAAAGTTTTGTCCATTTGTAGATGCATCCCGTCTCTTCCCTCTGCCTTTTATGTGTGCTGTTGATATAAGAATAGAACTTGTCCATTGTGATAGAGTATAATTCCACTATGGGTAAAATTTATTTTGATAAAGTCTCACAGTGTTGTTATACAATAATATTTGGTGATGACCATATTTTGACCACAATCTATTACCCTTCTCATAGTTATCATATCAAGGCACTACTCACACAACTTTCTAACTTCGTTCATATAATTCCATCACTATATTTCATCACTTGTGTCTTGATTGGTAGTAGTATTTTCCTTATTTCTGGCATGAGGGATGAGTCATTCCTATCGGACGTGTTCGGTGAAGACTCGATGAACAAGGATATTGATTTTAATACGTTAATTCCTACTCCAAAAATATGGCGAAGGTATGTGGATGACAGTGTTAAAAACAGAACATATCTCTCTCTAGCTACTTGACACATATAAACTCACTAATAAAGGGAATAAAATTCACATTTGAATCGGAAAATGAACAAGGAGAATTAGCTATCATGTTAGATTGCAAAATAAAACGAATAGAAGAAGGCAAACTACACACTAGTGTTTATAAAAAGCCAACGCATTCTGCTAATAGATACTTAGATTTTAATTCATCTGATCCGTTGACTGTTAAGGCAGGCTTAGTTAAGTTTCTAACAGACCGAGCAGTAGCACTAAGTAATACAAAAATGGCCTAAATGATGAAATAAAGCAAATAGAAGAAGCGTCGGTGTTAAATAACTAACTATCCTATAGAATTCATTAGGAATATCAGAAATGGTCAGGAGCAAAATAAAAATAATTATGAAACTAGTAATGATAACATAAATAAGAAAGAATATAAGGCATCTACTGTTATGCCATATAAAGAGGATGACATCTGAGATCCTACGTAGTAGTGTAACGGTAGAAGACAAGGGCCAGGAAATCAACACATTTATACATTTTCATGTACATTATTATAGAACATTGTTAGCAGAAAAACACAGTCTTCTGATTGGTTGTTTCTTACAGAAAGTTGATCTTTCATCTCTTTGTGGCTGTTTCTTGAATGTCAAATCATCTATATGCTAATTGTATCCGCCTACGTAAAGTCTGCTGTGATTGGCTGTTGAATCAGTCTTTGTCCTTATTTTCCTCCCTACCATTATTGGGAACGTAAACATTAAAGTAAATTACTATACAATTGGTGGGTGGTGGCTAGCAGTGGAATCCAGGATGCACATTTCGTCCTAATTGGGACTCGCCATCTGGATGTACCTGCATTTCTCAGTGAGTGATGGTGTTCCCACTGACGAGTCCCAAATGGGACGAAATGCGCATCTTGGATTCCACTGCTAGTCACCATCCACCAATTGTATACTAATTAAATACCCAGACATCGTCGAAGCATCTGCACAAGAAGCCGACATGTCAACCTGAGACCGAGCACTTCGGTCCAATCAATCGACGGGAAAATCAAAAATTCAATTCAAAAAGTAAATTACTGTCTACCAATTTGGCTAGCAACCAGCTGTCATCACAGTAGGATTCTTAATAAAGCAGAAATCAGAGTGTGGCGTTTGAACCTACCAACTCACGTAAGACAAGCTCTATAGGTTAAAGGAGCCTGTCGTTGACCCAGTAGGACAATGTAATATAATTTACAAAATACCTTGCAGTGACTGTGACTTGGGTCAACTACATAGGTCAGTGAAACTAGTAGATCAGGCGTCGTCAGATTGTCAGGACATATGAATTTAGCTAAATGAAGAATGATTGGTCCCACGAAGATAAGTAATTCAAAAAAACTTACCAACCCCACTGTATCTATTAACATACAACTGTCCAATAGGGTTTGAGGAGGTTAAAATTCTAAGAAGTAATATATGTCGGTGGAGAGAGAGGTTGATTACTGACTTCTTGTTCATCGAGTCTTCACCCAACACATACAATAAGAATGACTCATCACTCATACCAGAAATATGGGAAATGCTACTACCAGTCAAGTCAAGCGATGAAATATAATGACGAAATTATATGAACGAAGTTAGAAAAGTGTGTGTGAGTAGTGCCTTGATATGATAACTATGAGCAGGGTAATAAATTGTGGTCGAAAGGTGGTCATCAGTAAATATTACTGTATAACCACACTGTGAAATAAATTTTACTCATAATGGAGTTTTGTGTTTGCTTTTGTGAAGTGTAACACCTTGAACTGGGGTAAAGTTCATCCAAAGATGCTCTGCTGTTTAACATGGATTTAATTTAAATTTGATATAGTTTTAAGGTGATTAAAGTTTGTTACTATTATTGTTATTATTATGATTTTAGGTACAATTTGTTGGTGAAGCACTTTGTCATGTTTTACAATCTGGTGAAATTAGTTGGAAAGCTGCACGAGGTTTAATGGCTGATGCTAATTTCATTGGTACATTACAACAAATGGATGTTGAACAGATACCAGTGAAAAATATAACTGCTATAAAAGGTGAACAATAATTAAGACTGGTTATCACGTTTACTCTTATTTTACTGTACCATTGTAAATTAAAAATCTACAAATTGTAATATGAATGTAAAACTTGGGCGCTGTGATAGTAAGTAAATCTATATTAGTTAGTTTATTACATATATCATACAGTGGAACGGTATTATTTTTATTTACTGGATGACAAAGTTTCGAACACAATGTATTACTGTTCATATTCATATCACCAATTATAATCACACGAATTCGAAACTTCCGTTTTATAATTTTCTTTGTTCTCTTCTATTTGTCGTCGTTGGGGTAGTAGAATTTTCCAGATATCCAACTAAGGAGGTGTTGAATCATTTCTATTACATGTATTTGCAGTTGATTCGATAAACAAAGCTTCAGTCAGTAATCAATCTCTACCTCCACCCTGTGACATTAGATTTTACAACTGTCATCTTATCCCATCCATCCTATTGTATGGTTGTGTGTAATTGCATTTGTTGAGTGTTATGGCTGAACTATTCTCGAAATTTCTTATCTTATTCGGGCCAACTAATCTAGATTTCGCTAAGTTTTTATGCTTGGCTAGTCTGATTGCACTTGTTCTATTACTTTGACCTGTGTGTTTGACCTGACAGTCATTGCAGGCAGGGTATTAGATAAACTAAATTGTTTTGTTTATTTGGCTCCACAGGATGATCCTTTAACCGATAAAGCTTATTTCTAATTAAGTTTTTGGGCGGTTTGAATGACAGCCACTTTTATCCCTGCATTGCTGAGAATTCACTTTAAGGTTTCTGAGGTTCCTTCTTTGTGAGGGAAGTACTACTGGTGATTTATATTCCCTAATGTTGATATTGTCATTATCCTGTGCATGTTTCACATGAATGTCGTCATTAGTATTATAATAATTATGATTGTCACTATCACTACTATTATTAATTATTTTATTTTTAAATTTCAGAGCTTCTTTTATGTGCCTTACTTAGTGTCTTAGATTTCCCTTAGTACTATTTCATTTTTGTGCCCTGTTACTTAAACATTTCACTAATCCTACCTTTTACTGACATAGGATGGGATGACCGGAAATTCAAATATCTGTTTGAATGTGTGGGTTTCCTGTAAATACAAGTGTTTAGCTTCCCATCTTCTTTCCTTTTTACGTTGCAATCTAACATTGGAAGTTCCCCTTCCTTCCTGACTTTCCAATTCATAAATGAATTGAATGGCCTCCACTTTTGAGTTAATGTGCTCGAAAAATCTATCTATATCTTGTGTTCTAAGTACAGTGAATGTGTCATCTTCATACCTACAGCATACTTTTAGGGTTGGGCTGAACTTTTAATTGCCAACAGATGACAGCAAAATCTAGATTGGTTGACCCGAATAAGATAAGAAATCTGGTGAATAGTTCGGCTATACCACTCACTACACGCAATTACACACAACCATACAATATTATGGATGGGATAGGATGACAGTTTTAAAATCTAATGTCACAGGATGGAAAGAGGCTTTGATAACAGCGGAAGCTTTGTTTATCGAATCAACTGCAAACACGTGTAATAGTAATGATTCAACACCTCTCCAGTTGGATATCTGGAAAATTCTACTACCCCAACGACGACAAATAGAAGAGAAGAAAGAAAACTAGGAAACTCAAGTTGCAAAGTCGTATGATTATAATTGATTATATAATTATGAACAGTAATAAATTGTGGTCGAAACTATGTCATCCAGTAGATAATAATGCTGTTTCACTGGCTGTGTCATATATATCCATCTAATAAACAAACTAATATGGAATCCCCATAGTGTAATCAGAACAGGATGATTTTGAGCAAACAATTGTTTTCTATAAATTCCTCTTCAGGCTCTACAGTTATAAATCTATAAATATTATAGATATATATATATATATTGCATGGAGGATTTAATCATGAGCTGACATCAGTTAGAGAACCACTGGAAAACCTGGGAGTACTGGACAGCCGTTTCGTCCTAGTTTGGGACTCCTCATCAGTACGCACCCACCGGGATTCGAACCCAGGACCTTCTGGTTACAAGGCGAGCTCGTAGACCATTGAGCCACTGGTGGGTGCGTACTGCTGAGGAGTCCCAAACTAGGACGAAACGGCTGTCCAGTACTCCCAGGTTTTCCAGTGGTTCTCTAACTGATGTCAGCTCATGATTAAATCCTCCATGCAATCAAACAAAATCCCTACAAAAACCAATACTTGAAAATTCATCTGATGCTCACTAGTGACTGGCCCTATTCAGGCAGTTAACCTGGGGTTCTAGTGGGAAGCCGTGACCAGTAGGGTACAGCAGGTCGAAGATGAGGCAGTAACTCATCGAAGAAGACATTGCGAAGTGGTCGCGCTATGTCGTGAACTGGCAGAAGTTAGAATTCAAGGACCATTGGATCGGGTCCCAGTGGCTCAATGGTCCACGAGCCCGCCTTGTAACCAGAAGGTCCTGGGTTCGAATCCCGGTGTGTGCGTACTGCTGAGGAGTCCCAAACAAGGACGAAACGGCTGTCCAGTACTCCCAGGTTTTCCAGTGGTTCTCTAACTGATGTCAGCTCATGATTAAATCCTCCTGGCAATCAAACAAAATCCCTACAAAAACCAATACCTGAAAATATATATATATGCTTGGAAAAAGTTTAACCAAATCGTCTTGTAGATAGTGAATACCACATAAAAATAGATGAGTCGTCGAGTTGTACATCGAGTACTAGACAGTCTACCTAAAGGCACACAAATACGTCTCTAAGCTATAGCGGAAGCTAATAGAGATTAATAAGAAAAAACCTGACCTATGTGTGCAAAAGAAGCACATTCATCCTCTTTTTTTTACCCTGGCCTTGCTATAAGCTCAGCAGTGACATAATCACCCGTATTTTCAGGTCATATTATGCCTTCTTACTGCTTTTCACCTAGTTCTCTTTACTCCATTACTACTTTTATTATGTGCCAATCTTTTGTAATTTACACTAAGCTTATTATATCTCAACTATTTTACAACAGTTAACAATTTAGTATTTAATTGGTGGATGGTGACTAGCAGTGGAATCCAGGATGCGCATTTCGTCCTATTTGGGACTCGTCGCCCAGACATCGTCGAAGCATCTGCACAAGAAGCCGACATGTCAACATGAGACCGAGCACTTCAGTCCAATCAATCGACGGGAAAATCAAAAATTCAATTCAATAGTTAACAATTTAAACTGTTCATTTTATCAATGCACTTGATATCTTTCAGCTCTTGCTTGAACTTGCATCCAGTGTTCCCCAACTTTTGGTATTTGTTTGTATGTGTTTTGTGGTAATCATTTTTCTCGCACACTAGTGAATATAACTCACCCCCAATCCGTAATGAAACTTGATTATAAATTTTTCGTCAACAGACAAGGAGTGGACAATATCTACATTTTACCAGTTTTGTTCCTACCCAGTATAAAAGTTCCCTAGTGAAATGTTTGTTTCCAAGGGCCTGCAAAGTATGTACGAGCAACACACAGATGGGTGATCTTCGACACATACATTTAGTTTTATTAGCCAATGGTTATCCAGAAAACTAACAATTTTCACAGTAAGGATAGACCACATCTTGAAAAGACAGCTTCTGTACCAAAGAAAGCCATCTTTATTAACCTACTGTTTAAGGGTGATCGAATTATGTAGTTGACAGCTCATACACTTCGGTCAGCCATCAAACGCACATTCTATGCCGCATCTCTTACCCTCACATTCCGAACATTTTCTATCCCTGTACCTACGATTAAAGGACGAAATTCTGTAGATTATACTTCAAAATGTATCTACAAGTTCTTTTGCAGCTTCAGTGACACCTATATAGGTAGAACCAATAGAATGTTCCAATGTCTTTGAAAAGAACATGTTCCAAAATGGCTATTAAGACACATAGAAAATCCCAATGCAATTATTAATCTGACTGCTTCACAATTATTTCATTACATAACTCTAATTCAAGGAAAGAGGCTACAGTCAGTTTCAAGGTCGTGATGGTTTCCTGCGTCGGCTGGTTATATGTTTTCGTGAATTCGATTTCCATTGAATTTTAAAAGTTTTTTGTGCATGTTTTTCCCATTTTGCAGTGTGTAGATCAGTTTATGACGCTGGATACTACTAATAAGGTGATTTTTAGCTTGAAGTTCCCAGTTTTTATGTTGGTAGTCAAGGGTTATGGTGAACCTGCAATGATCCAGCCAAATAAGGTATACTTTTCTAATATATTAACCTTATTCAATAAGTAAACTGCCTAACCGTTCTGCCATTGTTTGAGATTAAAACTAAGAGCTGGTTTCTTATCATGATTGAAAGTAAATCAAACCGACTGGGTTTGCTTATCCGCTCTGTTCCATCCCTCACAGGACACATTAAGCTTGAACTACCGTAAATAAACACTAGTATATATTTTCAGTGCTTATATACCACTGGCCATGACCTTGTCAATTTACTTCATTTATGCTGACGTAGTACGCACAATTCCTACAAATCATTGAAGTGACAACTTAAAAAAGTAGATTAGTTACTACATTCATATTTCTACATGTAATAATTCAGGACACATAAAATTTATAGAAATGGTAGTTGAATTATATTCGCCCAGTAACCAAAATGGCACACATCCTATTTTGGACTTAAAATAAATGCATCAAAATTATTGTTGATTTATATTCACTTTCTGGACATTCTCATACATCTCAATATACTTTAAACATCAACAATGCATCCAAATAGCGTGTGACTGTCACACCACACTCACACCAAAAAAATTAACACGCCATGATATTATGGTAAGGTAAGCCCGAAATTTTACTGACTGTAAATTTCCGTGTCAAAATAAAGAGATTGGCGCTTTAATTTATATTTTAGACCAATAGAAAGCCAGCTAGCCAACAGCCAATAAAAAACTGCCTATATCTATATATAGATATAGATATAGATATAGGCAGTTTTTTATTGGCTGTTGGCTAGCTGGCT